CATCGTCGTCATCATCATCGTCATCATCATCACCATCATCAGCATCAGCATCGGGATCAGCATCAGCATTCGCATCAACGTCATCATCAACTTCAACACCACCATCACCATTACCATCATCACCATCATCGTCACCGTTACACCATCATCACCACCATAGTTATCATACTCATACTTATAATCGTAAACCACACTGATCATCATCATCAGCAGCATCATCATCATCGTCACCATCACAATCACCATCATATCATCAACATCATCATCAGCATCACCGTCATCATCATCACTACCATCACCACCATCACCATCACCATCACATTCATCATCATCAGCATCATGATTATGACTATCCGAGGCTGTATTCATCCATATCCACCGCCTGGGGGATCGATCCTCGCGGACCTCCACTGGCGGTGGATATGGATATAATCTGGCCCTCGGGGGCCAACATATATCCATATCCACCGCCCGCTGGGGCACCTGGCCGTCGGTTCCCAGGCGGTGCATATAGATACATTCCCGCCTCGCAGAAACTATCAGTATTAGTATTCATTCTTCATGCAATTATACTAGCATCACCCTTCCTAATACATAAGCGAATCATACACGTAATCGAATCAATACTGATACGACTAAAGTTAATAGTAAGCATGACAATGTCATCACTAAACGTCGCAACGCCAACTACTAACAATAACATCAATCATAATGATCAGCAGCAACAGCACCATCAGCATCGTCATCATCAACAACATCACCATCACCACCATCATCATCATCATCATAGTCAGCAGCATCATCATCATCAGCAGCAGCATCATCATCATCAGCATCGTCATCACCATCAGCATCATCATTATCATCATCATCACCATCATCATCATCACCATCATCATCATCATCATCATCATCATCATCACGATCACCATCAAGCTGTCGGAGTACCCCTCGTAAGTTTCGTGCCCCCCTAGGGAGCTTCGCTGAAGGCCCTGCTGGCTGTGTCCGCATGGTGATTCGTCCCATTTCGGCGCACCCATCACACGTGTTGTGGGCCCGGGAGGGAGCTCAACCAAAGGCCCCACTGGCTGCGTCCGCATGATGGCTCGCCCAATTTCGGCGCACCCCTCACACGTTTTGTGAGCTCGATAGGGAGCTCCACCAAAGGTCCCAGTGGCTGCGTCCGCATGGTGACTCGCCTCATTTCGACGCACCCCTCACACGTTTCGTGGCCCCACAGGGAGCTTCACCGAAGGACCCAGTGGCTGCGTCCGCATGGTGAGCCGCCCCGAATTCGGCTAACCTCACACGTTTCGCAGGCTCCATCGGGAGCTCAAAGGAAGCTCCACCGAAAGCTTCAGTGTCTTCGTGCGCATGATGACTCGCCCCATGTCGGCGCACCCCTCACACCTTTCGCTGCCTCATAAAGAGCTCTGTGGAAGGCCTCAGTGGCTGCGTCCACATGATGACCGTCCGATTTCGTCGCACCCCTCACACGTTTCGTGGCCCCACAGGGAGCTCCACCGAAGGTGGCTGCGTCCGCATGGTGACTCGCACGTTTTGGGGGCCCGATAGGGAGCTCAACCAAGGCCCCAGTGGCTGCGTCCGCATGGTGACTCGTGATTCCGGCGCACCCGTCACAGGGAGCTCCACCGAAACCACCAACGCCTGAGTCCGCATGGTGGCTCGGGTCCATTCTGGCGCACCGCTCGCACGATCCGTGCCCTCATAGGAAGCCCAGTGGCTGCGTCCGCATTTTGACTCGCCTCCGTAGCTGCGTCCGCATGATGACTGGGCCCCCTGAGCATGCCAGGGAATCGTGAGCTCGCGGCGCAGTCGTGCCGCCCCCTACCTGGATTTCCGAGCGTTTCGCTGGAGCTGTTAACCGTTCCTCAAATTGTCCTTCCTCCTGCTTCCTCTATCCCTGATCTCGTGGTCCGCGCCGCATGCGTTGTTAACTTTCCGTGTTTAATTTGAGTCGTGTGAGTGTGTGCCGAGCTTGGTCCGCCTTTCTCTGGCGAAGTTTGTGTGCATCAGGCGGTTTTGCTGACAGTTTTCACGCGTGTAGAATGGGTTGGGTTCTTCGCAGGGGTCATTTGATGGGATTGTCCCTGTCAAAACTATACAAAGTGGTCGCGGGCGCCCGCGGGTGCTCCAGATGTGGAAGCACACTGTATCTTGTGTTGGCGTTGTTTGACAGGCATGGTGTGGGGGGGAGGGGTAGGCATGGGTCCTGGTTGGCTGCTGGTCGCCTGGGGGAGGGGGTACTTGTTGATAGGGAGAAGTAGTAAACCTTTCCCCGAAGAAGAAGAACTGTGGTTTGGCTAGGAGGAGCGTGGGAAATCTCAAGTGCCTTGCGCATTCCGCCTGGGGGGAGCTCAGACACCCAATGGTGAATCCGGAAGCGCCCGCACGGGTGAGCACACCGCCCGGTGAGCACACCGCGGTTCTGGTGGCATCAGCGTTTTTTTTGGCTTCCCACCTAGGGCCTCCCCTCGAATCCCTTGAGCCTTCTAACACATCTCTCCTGCTTCTCTCCTGCCTCCGCCTCCGCCTCCTTCCCGTCTCGCGCCCCTTTCTCTGTTTGGACGCCTCCCATTACTCGTTACTATGTGCAGCGGCCCTCCCTCCTCCGTCCTCCCTCCTCCTGTAGACCCCCCGCGCCCCCCGAAATCCTGCTGATTCCATGTGCTCTTTCCAGAGTCCTCTAAACTTTACACCCCCTCCTTCTTGCTCCTGCTGCTTCCGGTCTCCTCCCTCCTCCCCCCCCCTCTGGGTTCTCCCTCCCCCCCTGCTCCCCCGTGTTGGCCTCGTTGGGCTACTCCTGAATTTCTAGACGCCTGGCGTAACCCCACCAGCCGATCCAGAGACGATGCCTATGCGAGTTGCGCAGGCCAGGGGCATGGAGGAGCATGCAGTGAAACAAAGGGCGGGGGAAGCCGTCGTACCCCAGAAGGGGGAGGATGGAGGAGGAATCGGAGGAGGAGAAGGCGAAGGAGGAGAAGGCAAGAGGAGGAGGAGGAGGAAGAGGAGGAGGAGGAGGAGGAAGAGGAGGAGGAGGAGGAGGAGGAGGAGGAGGAGCACTGCAAGGGGAAGGAACCAGCGGATGAGGAGGAGGAGGATGAGGAGGAGGGGTGAAAGGCGGAGGAGGGGGGGGAGGAGGATAGGAGGAGGAGGAGGAGGAGGAGGAGGAGGAGGGGGAGGAGGAGGAGGTGGGCGAGCAGAATGACCAGATGCCTCTTCGGTGCCTTCCGGAGTCTCTTCAGATGTCTCTTGAACGCTTCTTGGAGTCTTCTCGGGGCGTCTTGGGGACTTCTTGGCGATCCTGGGGCCTCTTGGATCGTCTTGGGTGCCTCGGGGGAGTCTCTTGGGGTCTCTTGGGGGGTCTTTTGAGAGTCTCTTGGGAATCGCTTGGGGCCTCTTGGGACCTCTTGAGCGCCTCTGGGGCCCTCTTTGGACATTCTTGGGAGCCTTGGGGGCCATCTCGGGGCCATCTTGGACGAGGCCGATCAAAGAACGGGGGGGTAGTCACTTAGAGTTCCTCCACAGGAGGCCGAAATGGGTCAAACACCTAAATCAAATCAATGATTTTTGCTTTCTCACCGAGGCCAAGGACACTCAGGGGTCGCGACCCCCCCCCTCCAGACCCAGGAGGACGGGGTAGGGCCTATGGGGGAGGTTTCAGACACCCTCCCCGCCCGCAAGCTGTCTCGCTCACTCCCACCCGCCCTCCCAACACACAAGTAGCACCCGGGCCTCAGCACGTCCAGCGGTCGTCTATGGATGGGCAGCTACTGGGAACCAATACAGACCCTATGTGTGCGATGGGGCGGGGCGCGCCACGCGTGCCAGGCGCTCCAGGTGCGGCAGGTGCCCCTGGGGCCCAAGCGTGCCGGGCACGCCTCGCGCGCCAGAAGCGCCACGTGCTTTACGTGCGCCATGTGTGCCGCATTGTCTAGCCGCGCCAGGTGCGCCACGTCCAGGGCACGCGCAGCGTGTGCCAGGTGCGCCCGCGCACGTGACAGCACACATCGGGAACCATGTCGGCCCCCACCATCCTTGTCGAAAACCTTTGTCCAATCGCGGCAGGGAGGCCATCATGGTGTCTGGTGGGCCTGCGCACAGCAGGCAATATGTCAGCACCGCCGCGGTCCTTGTTGAAAACCAATGGACAGTGATCGCGGGGTGGCCGCGCATGATCCAGATTTAGCCGCGAAGTGCATGTTGTATTGTTTTTTGACAGGGATGGTGGCCTTGCACAAAGCAGGCAATATGAGGCCCCCCCCCGCCGTCCCGGTCAAAATAACATATGAAGTGCTCGCGGGGCCCACGAGCATAACCCACGATTTTGCCCCAAAGTGTGGGGTACTGGCGTTGGTCCTGGTTGGCTGCCGATCGCCTGGGGGCGGGATGGTTTTTGAGATGGAACAGAGGTGAACCCTCCCCGAAGGGGAATGAGGAAGATGGAAGAGGAAGCGCTCTAACCCACTCGGGCCAAGGGGATCATGGAGGGATCCCCCAGCGCCTCCACGGGGCCTCCCGGCAGAGCCCCCGAGACCCTCAGCCCGTCGCAAGCCTGCGCAGCCCTCGAGATCAGCTGGGAGCCTGCACTCGCTCCCCCCTCGCCCCCCGACCTCCGCCCTCGCGGGGGCTGGCGCCAGACCCTGGAGGAGGGCCGCCCTCTGCTGAAGCCACATGCAGCCGGGTGGCCCTGGCGGGAGCTGTGTGGCCTGCTCGTCCACCCAGGCTGGCCACCGCGAGGTCCTCACACGCATACGGTAGGTTTTTGTGTCGTACTGCTGCGGCGGCGACCCCGCCGCGGGCGTTCAAGGCTGAACGCCGCCAGGGGCCCAGAATCAGCCGATATCGAGCGATCCGGCGATCGAGAAACCGTCGATCGCTCGAGGCGTAGCGATGCACGCGGTGTCAGAAACCAGCGCGGGGTCGTCACGACACGAGCCTGCCGCGGTGATCCAGGGAGAATCCGCCCGCTGGCGCAGGCGCTGCTGGTGGCGCTGCTCTGCTTCGTTTTCGGCGTGATCTACTACTCCCGGGCGGAGCCCGACCTGGCGCAGGAGTTGCAGGCGTCCCGGGCCGGAGCGTGGAGGGCGGCGAGGCGGCAGGGAGGAAGGAAGGAAGGAAATATCCGTAAGGGATTCGCCCCCTGCCGCGGGCCCCCTCTCTATCATAATGGGATATATCAGAGTCGCGTCGGTGCCTCTCGGTGCTGCCTTGGCGCATCTGGGGACATCATGCGGGGGCGGATAGGAATCATCAGCGCATATTGAGACGTTGACGTTATCCTGGTGGCTTTCGGCCCATCTTGCCACCGTGCCTGGGTTGTGGGTCTGAGGCAGGTTGTATATGTGCTGGGGTGTCGTTGGGAGCCTCTCGGGGACTTCTTGGAGGCGTTTTGGGCGCCTCTTGGCGGCCTCTTGGGGCCTCGTGGGGTATCTTTTGGGCCTCTTGGAGGCCTCTTGGGCGCGTCTTGGGCGCCTCTTGGGGCCTCTTGGGGCGTCTTGGCGGCTTCTAGAGGCCTCCTGGGGATTCTCCGGGGTACAAATATAGTATTTTCGGTTCGTGATCCCCTGCTTGGGCCCCTCTTGGGACCGTCTTGGGGTCCTCCTGGGCCGTTTTGAGCGCTTCTTGGGCAATCTTGGAGCCCTCTTGGGCCGTCTTGGGGACCTCCTGGAGGTCTCTTGGGCTGTCTTGGGGCGGTGTTGGGAGCTTCTTGAGCCCTCTTGGAGCGTCGGAAAGCCGAACATGCGAGAAGGCCATTTTGACCTCTTGGGGCTCACTCGGGAGGCCTCTTGGGGCGCTCTTGGGCCTCTTGGGGCCCTCTTGGGCCGTCTTGGAATCATCTTCGGGCGCCTTGGAGCACTCTTGGCTTCGGCAATGCGAATCTGGTGTAATTGCGAACGTTTATGGCCTCGGGGACGCGAACATTGCATACTTTACAACCGATTATAGCATCGGGGACGCAATCATGGTATACTTTACGTGGGTTTGTGTCCTCGGGGACGTGATCATTGAGTCAATTATAAGGGATTTATGGCTTCGGGGAAGCAAGTGTTGTGTGATTTACTCGGACTTGTTGCCTCGTGGACGGAATATGGTGTAATTTACGAGGGTGTGTTGCCTCGGGGACGCAACAATTCTGTAGTTAAAAAGGGTTTGTGGCCTCGGTGACGCGAATCTTGTATAATTTTCTAGGGATGATGGCCTCGGGGTCGCGAAACTCATGCATTTTTAAGAGTTCCACGCCCCCCGGGAATCCAGGCAACGCGATTCGGGCGTGGTGAATTGCTCTTTTGGGGTTCCCCCCCCTCGCGCAGACTTCAACAGTGTACAGCAGGAAGCAGAACGCAGGACTCTAACAATGGATACTTGAAGCTGCACCAGGGAGCAGGAACTTCGGCCTACAGCCTGGTGGCCCCAAGAGGCGGAGGGAACATGAAGCAGGCGAGGAAGGATGGGAAGGGGGGGGGAGGGGGCTCCGTGGCGCCGCCCGCCCCTTCCCGAGCCATGCTCCCCAGGCCGGCCCGGGCCAGACTCCCCAAGCTGGCGTCAACAGGAAGCCGGCCCGGGTTTGCCGATCAGGACGGCGTTGCTGCGGGGCGCCGCCGCGGAGCCGCTGGGTCCGCCATGGCCTCGGGCGGCGAGACGAGCGGTTGGGCAGGGAGGAGGAGGAGGAGGAGGAGGAGGAGGAGGAGGAGGAGGAGGAGGAGGAGGAGGAGGAGGAGGAGGAGGAGGAGGAGGAGGAGGAGGAGGGGTGACGGGGGAGGAGGGGCGATGGAGGAGTGAGGAGGTCGGCCACGCGCAGAGGGGTTTAGGGGGAGGAGGGAAGGCTTCTTGGAAAGGAGGCTGCTTCTCAGAAGGCGCGGACCGAACTTATGGATGTAAGGCCCAAGCAGCAGCCTCCTTCTCAGAAGCCATCCCCCCCTTTCCCTACCCCCTGGTGCGAGCCGCCAATGAAGGGGGATCAGGAGGAGGAAGTTGCAGATTGACGACGCGCGCTCGACAGAAGGGCAGGAGGGGATGGGTCTAGGCGTCTGAGCCCGCAAGGCGGGCATCGCCCCTAGCCTGCAACTGGGCTGGCTGCTGCATGGGCTCATATCCTGGGCTGGGACACTCCGCACCTGCGAGGAGACCCACACCAAGGTTGAGGAGTGAGGAGGAGGGAGGGGCGAGGCAGGGAGGATTCTGGACTCTGAAGGCGGCCCGTTTCCTGCACATTGGTGGACAGCGCCTGCGACAAATATCAGTAACAAGGACGACACGACCAAGACACGCGATAGACAGCGAGGACGACGGACGGGGCAAAATAATAGGTCGCAGGGCTTGGTGGGAGGGTCGAAAAGTGCGCGGCAGCAAGCGTGTTCGCTTAGCGCGTCGTCCCCTTGTGGCCGAACGATCCCTGTGCCAAATGACGACGACGACGGCGCCCCGCCTATCGCCTATTCCGCCCGCCCGCCCGTTCCGCCCGCCCGTCTGACCCGCCCGCTATTCCCGCCCGCCCGATCCGCCCGTCCTACGCGTCATCGGTGGCGGGGGCGGTGGCGGCGGCGTCGTCGTCGCCGTCGTCGTCGTTGTCGTCTGCTGGCGGCGGGTTGGAGGGGGGAGGCCCCTCCCCGTTTCGAAGGGCGCCTCTGGATTTTTTCGCGGGTGGTGGGTCCCCTAGTTCCGGAAACCCCCTCGTGTTGGGACATTTTCCACAGCATGCGAACTTGAACCGCGCTCTCTCACAATTCGGCGGCGAGCCCGGGGGGAAGTGAGAAGGGGCGTGCCTTCTCATAAGGCTTGAAAGTCCCCCAGCCTTCTGAGAAGTTTTCTACGCCTTCCCCGAAAGCACTGAAAACCTTTCAGAAGGCCGGAGGCCTTCTCAGAAGCCCCGACGCCTTCTGAGAAGGCCTTCTCCTTCTCACTTCCCCCCTCGCTCGCCGCCGAACAGTACAGCGAGAGAGAGAGAGAGAGTGCCACTGCACAGCCCGACGCTGACGTCGCCCACACCCATAGCACCACAGACGGTGCCCGTGCGCAGGAGTATTTTTTGTTGCATTCGTGCGCTCCAGCGTCACGGGAGCGACTGCTCCACGGAGTTCCTCCCCCTCTTCCTCCTCCTCGTCCTCCTCCTCTTCCTCCTCCTCCTCCTCCTTCTCCTCCCCTTCTCCGCCTCCTCCTCCACCTCCCGTTCCTTCGGGTCCGGTAGGGGCAGCCAGACTTTGGACCTCCTCCTCCTCCTCCTGCCCCAGAAAGAGGAATCCTCGCGGAGGGATCCTCCTTGCCGGTCTGGTGCTGAAGCTGCAGGAGATCCCCGTGGCGGTGCTGCAGGGCCCCCCCCGAGGCTTGAGGCTTCTGGAGGCCCAAGACATGTCTCACCTCCTCGAGGCGGAGGAGGCGGCAGCGAAAGAGGCAACGGCATGGGTGCGTGGGCCTTCTCCTCCTCCTCCGCCACTGACGCCTCTCACAAAAAATTAAAGAGTGCAAGTAGTTTTTTGGTCGCAGCTGGTAGCAAACCGATCTCAGGCGTCAAGATACTTCAGACGAGCGCTCCTCATTATTTCAGATTGATTTGGTGTGCCTGTCAGCTCTGTAACTGGCCAGGCGTCCGCGCGCGAGGTGCGCTGAGTCCCATTCCTGCTACACTTTTCGCAGCGTCGACGACAAGAAAGTCCACGTTGTCGAGAAAAACGTTGACCGTGTATTGTTTTTTGATAGGTAGGACGCGACTTCCCGCTTAGGGCTACCCGAGCGATGTTCATTCCGTCCCATTCCTGTTACACTTTTCGCAACTCGACGACATGGTCGCGAGAGAAAAATGAGTTTGTGTCGTTTTTCACAGTTAGGACGGCGGGGCTGCTATCGGCCGGGTAGGTGGGGGTTTGGGGGTGCTTAATCATAAGAAGTAAGGATGGGTGGGGTTTGGTGGGAGGAGGGTGGGAGGTGGGATGAGGAGAACGCGGATCACGAGGAGAGGGATGTTCATGTCGATGAAGTTGATTGCGATGACTGCGATGAGGATGCCAGAGGTTGCGACGGGTGCAATGGCGATGACGGTGACGACGACGATGCTGACCATGGTGCTGCATGTGATGCTGGTGGTGAGGGTAGTGACGATATCGAGGCTGCTGATGGTGGCCATGCTAATCCAGCTTCCCGCTGCAAGTTCCGCCGCCGTGCCAGCCAAACATTCTGGGTGGCGACTGTTCGAGGGGGCGCGGGAGGCCGTCACCTATAAACCTCGTGTCCCCAGGCTTGGCAAAACCGTCAGGGTGATGATGATGCTAATGCTGATGCTGATGATGATACTGCTGATGGTGATGATGATGATGGTGGTGATGATGATGGTTGCGGTGACGATGATCCTGATGACGATGATGATTATGATGTTGTTGATGATGATGCGGCTGCTGCGGTTGTCGATGATGATGATGTTGATGATGGCGGTTGTGATGTTGCTGATGATGACGCTCATGATGATGCTGATGGTGCTGATGATGCTGATGATGGATGCTGATGATGCAATATGTTGTTTTGGGAGGATGATGATGAGGAGAAGGAGGACCATACTGATGCGGATGATGATGCTGCTGATGATGATGCTGATGATGATGAGGATGCTGCTGCTGATGACGAGGATGAACATGATGATGCTGATGCTGATGCTGATGCTGATGCTGACGATGCTGATGAGGTTGCTGATGATGCTGATGATGATGCTGATGATGATGATGAGGATGATGATGATGATGCTGATGCTGATGCTGATGCTGATGCTGATGATGATGATGATGATGATGATGATGATGATGATGATGATGATGATGCGGATGCTGTGAAGGAAGATGAGGATGAGGAAGAGGAGGAGGCGGAGGATGAGGAAGCGACGGTGGAGGAGGAGGAGGAGGAGGAGGAGGAGGAGGAGCCAGAGGATGAAGAGGAGGAAGAAGGCGGCCGTCACATGTGTCACTTGTTAGTTTTCACTAGCTGAGGCGCCCTCATGGAACTCGGTCGGGCCGTCTGGTGGTTGTTTTGGCTTCCTGTGAGGCAGTCTTGTTGCCCCTTGGGGCCCTCTTGGGTCATGTTGGGGCCCTCTTTGGGCCCTTCTTGGGGCCGTCTTGGGGCGCCCTTGGGCCGTCTCAGGCGTCTCTTGTGCAGTTTTGGAGCCCCCTTGGGGCCGTCTTTGGGCCCTCTTTTGGGCCTCTTAGGCCGCCTGGGGGTTCTCTTGGGGGCCAGTTGGGCCGTCTTGGGATGTCGGAAACCCGACAAGGCGGACCTCATTTGCCCCTCGAGGCCCTCTGGAGACGGTTCTTGGGGCTTTCTTGGGACGTCTCGAAGGCCTCTTGGGCCTTCTGAAGGGCATCTTGGGCCGTCTTGGGGTCACAGAGGAACCTCTTGGAGTAATCTTGGGCCGTCTTGAGGCATCTTGGCTTCGTGAGCGCGAAGTCGTTGTGTTTTACGAGGGGTCGTGGCCTCAGGAGTTTGAGTCGGTGGTATTTTGCGAGGGGTTCTGGCCTCGAGAGGGGGTGTCGGTGCATGCGGCGAAGTGCGATTAGAGGGGGGGTGCCTTCAAATATTACAAACTATACCAGACAGCACTTGGCTTTCTAGCACGCATCAACGTGCCAGGGGTCGCGGTGGCGGATTATGTGGATTGGGGTGGTGGTGATAGTGTTGGTGGTGATTGTAATGCTGCTGCTGTTGCTGCTGTTGCTGCTGTTGATGATGATGATGCTGATGCTGATCATGATGATGCTGATGATGATGGTGATGATGATAATGAGGAGGATTATTATGATGATGGTGATGGTGATGGTGATGGTGATGGCTATGATGCTGATGATGATGCTGATGCTGCTGCTGATGATGATTGTGATGATGCTGATGATGCTGCTGATGATGCTGATGATGATGATGGTGATGATGATGCTGATGATGATGATGATGATGATGATGATGATGATGATGATGATGATGATGATGATGATGATGATGATGATGATGCTGCTGATGATGATGATGATGATGATGATGATGATGCTGATGATGATGATGATGATCGCGACGATGATGACGATGCTGATGCTGATGGTGTGGTGATGTGCTGGATGATGATCGTGTGAAGAGTTCCCTCCAACGTTGTTAACTCGCACACGTTTCCGTCGCTGCGCGGGGCCCACAAACGCGTCCCGTATATGGACAGATTCTCCAGGCTCACGCCACATCCGCCGACCCCTTGATTCGTACCGGCGGCTATCGCCGCGTTTCCGCCTTCACTGCTCGTAGCTGCCAGGCGTTACAGTGCAGTGGCAAGTGCCAGAAGAAAAGATTGAGAGGCATGGCAAAGCGCATGGAAAAAAGAACGGAAGAGGAGTAGTCGGAGGTGGAGGAGGAGCAGAGGGAGGAGGAGGAGGATGAGGAGGATGAGATTGAAGAGGATGAGGAGGTCGAGGATCAGGTTGAGGAGGATGAGGAGGGTGAGGTTGGGGAGGATGGCGAGGGGGAGGGCAGTCTTGGGGCCATCTTGGGCGTGTTCGAACGCTGGTTTGGCTACTCGGGGCCTTCTTGACCGTCTCGGGGGCCCCTTGGTGCGCTCTTGGTTCGTTTTCGGGCCCTTTGCTCCCCCCGGCGGCGTTCGAGCCGGGGTCAACCGGAGCGCGGATGACCCCGGCTCGAACGCCTCTGGGCTACTTTGGGGCTGTATTGGAGGCCTCCAGGGCCGTCTGGGAGCGTCGGAAAGCCCAAAAGGCAAATTTGTGAAAAATGTACGTTTCACGAAGGGAACGGGCCAATTTTTGCGCCGAGGGGCCCTCCTGGGGGTCTCTTGGGCAGTCTTGGGACCATCTTGGGCGTGTTCGAACGCTGGTTTGGCTACTCGGGGCCTTCTTGACCGTCTCGGGGGCCCCTTGGTGCGCTCTTGGTTCGTTTTCGGGCCCTTTGCTCCCCCCGGCGGCGTTCGAGCTGGGATCCACCGGAGCCCGGATGACCCCGGCTCGAACGCCTCTGGGCTACCTTGGGGCTGTATTGGAGGCCTCCAGGGCCGTCTGGGAGCGTCGGAAAGCCCAAAAGGCAAATTTGTGAAAAATGTACGTTTCACGAAGGGAACGGGCCAATTTTTGCGCCGAGGGGCCCTCCTGGGACGCATCTTGGAGGCCTCTTGGGGCCTCTTGGGGCCGTCTTGGGCCGTCTGGAGGCGATCGTCGGTGTCTTTGATCGCTCTTCGACCGTCTGTGACCATATTGAGCTCTCTTGGAGGCCACTTGAAGCGCTCCTGGAGCGCTCTTGGGGCCGTCTTCGGGGCCCTCTTGGGCAATCTTGGGCGCCTCTTGGGCTGTCTTGGGGCTCTCTTGGGCTGCCTTGGAGCTTCCCTGGAGGCTGCTTGGACCGTCTTGGGGCGGTATTTAGGGCCTCTTGGGCCGTCTGGGAGCGTCGGAAAGCCCAAAAAGCGAATTCGTGAAAAATGTACGTTTTACGAAGGGAATGGGCCAATTTTTGCGTCTAGGGACCCTCGTGGGACGCATCTTGGAGGCCTCTTGGGGCCTCTTGGGGACCTCTTGGGCCGTCTTGGAGGCCTCTTAGCCCGTCTTTGAGCCATCTTGGGCGTCTTGGAGCGCTCGTTTGGCGTCTCGGGGCTCCCGTGGGCCGTCTTGAAGGCCTCTTGGGGCCATCTTGGCCCGTCTTGAGGCTTCCTGGGGCCCGGAAAAGCCCCGGCGGCGCTCGTCCCGGGCCCCGGCGGCGCTCGTCCCGGGCCCGGGGGGGGGGGTCAAATCGCCGGTTTGGGGTCCCGGGGGGGGGACTATAGGGGGGGGAACTATCTCACACGCCTAGAGACCCACAAGGGGTCGGCGGATTTTGCTATTACTACCGTCAGGGTCAGCGGAACGTGCAGTTCTGCAGGATTCGTCGGCGGACGCGCTGGCATTCTGCATATCTGTACGAGCAGACGAGGGTACAGATGCTACGCAAAACAGGCAGCTCTGGTCCATAGAACGTTGCTGAGCAGAAGAGGTCGGGGCCCGGAGCGCTTGACGAGGAGGTGGGGGAGCGTGCATCATACAGCCATGTTGCTGCATGTACGATCTCGACTCGATTCTACCTATACTCTGTATGTCTCCGCAGCTGCGTGGGCCTCACCGCCGCCGGCTACCATCACTGTATCAGGGGCCTCAGCCATCCTTCTCTCGATCGCCAGCGACATTTTTCAATAGTGGCCATCCACAGACAGCGAAAGCCAGGTCCGCGACAAGGCTTGCCAACGTTCCTTGCCAAGGTAGAGCTCATCGCATTTTGCAATGGCGAGTTCGCGGCCCGTCCCTGTCCCCGTCCCTGTTCTTCCTCTCCTCTTCCTTCCCCTCCTCTTTTTCCGTGCCTTCTCCCTCTGTCCCCCTCCTCTTCGGCGTTGTCGAGGCCGTCGTTGTTTTATTGTGCGTGCGGTCCCTCTGTGCATTCACGGATATGATATAGTGGTGTGTACGTATGTATGTGTGCATACATGCATGCATGCATGCATGCATATATATATAAATGTATGTACGCACGTATGCACATTTGTATCTGCCAGGGTACATGCCAGTACTCATCAGATTCTCTCATACATATACATACAAGTGTATATATACACATATATTTGTGTATCTATATATAGACATTCATGTATAGATGTATGCATGTAGGTATGTCTGCATTCATTTATGCAGGTATGCATGCATGCATGTATGTATGCATGTATGCATGTATGTATGCATGTATGTATGTATGTATGTGTAAGTATGTGTGTATGTGCATGTATGCATGTACTGTACTGTAATGTAATGCAATGTAATGTAATGCGAAGTAGTGTGACGTAGTGTACTGTGTTGTATTATGAGATCATGCAATGTATTGTTTTGCAATGCGCTGTACCGTAAGGTAATGTAACGCGTGTATGTATGTATTTATGGATGTATGTATGTATCGATTGATTGATGTATGGATGGGTATATGCATGCGTGCATGAATGTATGTATGTATTAATGTATATAAGTACGTATGTATGCATGTATGTATACATATGTGTATGTATGTATGCACGCATGTATGCATGTATGTATGTATGCACGTATGCACGTACGTACGTATTTCTTTCTGCCTGTCTGTCCGTCTGTCTGTCTGTATGTCTGTCTGTCTGTCTGTATGTATGTATGTATGTGTGCAAGCATGTACGTATGAATGAATGAATGAATGAATGGTATGTATGTATGCATGTCCACACATATATACATATATGTATATGTCACCTTTTACGAGGCCTGGCGCCCAGAGGTGCTCCACAGGCGTTCCGAGAGCCCCGAGTCTCTTTCGAGTCACCAGCAAATCACTCCCACACGGTCGTGATTGCCTCCTGATGGTTCAACACGTTGCCAAGGCGCTCGACGAAGGCTTCGACTGCCCAAAACGCTCCCCCGACGCTTCAAGACGGTTCCCTGACAGCCCCCAACAGGGCCACGAGAAGCAAACATCATTGGTTTTCTTTGGGTTTCAATGTTTTTTTGTGGGATTCCGCCTTCCCGCCTTTTCAGCTTCCCGATGCTCCAACCCAGCTCCAGAAGCACCACTACACGTTTCAAGACGGTTTTTTGGGCCCCCCCAGGGGCAAGTCGCGCCCAAATGAGTCGTGCCCCCAGGCGCGGGGGCGTGCCTGGGGTTGTGCCGCGGTTGTCCTGTCGTTGTCCCGTGGGTGTCCCGCGGTTGTGTGTGATTGTTCCGTGGTTGTCCCGTGGTTGTCTTGCGGTTGTCCCGTGGTTGTCCCGTGGCTGCTTGCTCTATTGTTATCTCGTGCTTGTCTGGTGGTTATATGTTGGTTGCCCCGTGGCCGTCATGTAGTTGTCTGGTGGTTGTTCCGTTGTTGTCCTATGGTTGTACCGTTGTCGTTCCGTGGTTGTCCAGCGGTTGCTCCCTGGTTGCCCCTTGGTTTGTCCCGTGGTCGATCTGTGGTTGTTCTGGGGCTGTTCCGCGGCTGTGCCGTTGTTATCCCGTGGTTGCCCCGTGGTTGTCCCGTGATTGTCCCATGGTTGTTTCGTTGTTGTCCTGTGGTTGTCCCGTTCGTGCCCCGTGGTTGTCCTGCTGTTGTTCCGTGGTCCCGTGATTGTCCAGTGTTCGGTGATTCCGATCGATATGGCCGTAGCGAGTTCAATTGATAGTAATACCGATAGATACTGACACCGATCGATATATTGATTGAGAGGTCGATCTGCGCATATTCCGTAAGTGTCACGCGGTTGTCCCGTGGTTCTTTCGTGATCGTCCCGCGGTTGTCCTGTGGTTGTCCCGCAGTTGTCTCGCGGTTGTCTCGCAATTGTTTCGTGGTTGTCCCGCGGGTGTCTGGTAGTTTTCCAGTGGTTGTTCAGTGGTTGGCCCATGATTGTCGCCTGTGTATACCGTGGTTGCCCCGTGGTGTGTCCCTTGCGTGTCCTGTCTTATCGATCTATGGATGATGATACCAAGATGTATGTGCGTATGTCTGTAGATGTATAGGTATAGATGTATATATATATATGTATATATATATATATATAGATATATTTATGTGTATGTATATCGACGCCAGAATATGGAGATCGTGAGGTTGAGAGGTTGAACGGTCCACACATGCACACATATCTGTGTACACGTATATATCTGTGTATACATAGATATTATGCATTTCTCAGAGGAAGCTCAGAGGCGATTCATTGAAGCCGCGTTTCTTTTTGGGCCGTTTCCCTTAGGACATCCTCACCATCATGACGATCGATCGCGCAGATCGCGACGTCACGGTCCAAATGCACAGCTTTTTCCAGCTTGCTCAGCGTAAAAATTGCAGAACAAAGTCGGATTCTGGATTTGAGCCCAATTCTTCGATCGTGTCAGTTCCGCCTGAGACATCCTCCAAACACCGAGCTCCATTTTCAATACGATTCTTGGAAAAAAAGGCAGTTTCGTATGAGACATGCTCCCAGAATCGAGCCCCGACTTACAACACACACACACACGGACACACACACAGAACATACATACCGCGCACACACACCACACACCGAAGCCACACACACAACACACACAGAACACAGGCAACACCTATAACACACAGAACTCGCACAAAGAGCACACATACACGCACATCCGCACACACACAACGCACACATCCCACAACACACCCAACACAAGCAACACACACCGCTCACACACTTTTGGCGGTCGCGGCCTCGCGCGTGGCGACGAGTCGAAGCAAAGCAAGTACGGCGGCCGAAACCTGAGCTGGTGCGCGCGCGGGCCGGCTCGGCAGGGGGGCAGCACATTGCCGTCCAGGCCTGGATGGCGGGGACGAGGGAGAGCGCACTGGCCGCCGCCCAAGGGGACGTCTCACATGGGAGACGCAGCGCGGACGTGACGGACAACGGTCACACGAGCACACACACAAACACAGAGCACCTGACACACACAACACGTAGAACGCATATGACCCACACATACTTCACGCATAGCGCACCCAGCACACGAGGCACGCACACAACACAACACAACACACATAACACAAACCTTACACACCACGCACACACGTTCTCACCTATGTATGTATGAGCCTGAGCACGCATTTGCCATGTCTTCACGTATACCATTGCACGCATGCTTACTGTACATGTCTAAATCGGATACATTATGGATACGTGCGTTGATATAATGTATATATATACGAACAGGCATACAGTGGGGAACGGATGGTAGAGAGTGTGGGCCGATGGGTCGGATATGAATATCGACACAGTGAGATACCTCACATCCGATCATACGCCAGTCGCAAAGCGAATGCTACACCCACTCACCGCACTTTTGTCAGAAGGGTGGCCCCATGTGTGTGTGTGTGGTGATAAATCTAGCCGCGCACACACATATATATATACACATAAATCTACGTGTGTGTGTGATGAATCGGGGATGCCCAGGCCCCAGGCGCTTCCTGGAGGCCTCTTGGGGGCCTCTTGGAGGCCTCTTGGGGGCCTCTTGGGGTCCTCCCGGCACCTCCTCTGGGCCTCTTGGGGGCCTCTGGGGGGCCTCTTGACACTCGGAGGCCGTCTTGGGGGTTTCACTGGGCCGTCTTTGGGGGCCTTCATGTGACTCCTTAGGGCCGTTTCAGAAGTCTCTGGGACCGTCTTGGGGGCCTCTTGCAGGCCTCTTGGGCTCTCTGGGGGCTCTCCTAGGGCCCTCTTGGATGGACTTGGGCCGGTGCTGTGCCCTCCTCGGCCGTGCTGGGCCGTCGTTCGCCCCAGAAGGCGACGGCGCTACCATCGTCCCAAACCCTCTGGGGAGTCAACGATTTCGGCCAGAGCCCCCACGGTCCCCACCCACACTCGTCACTGCGTGTGCCCTCGGGCGCTCCACCGCGTGCCGAAGGCACGGTGGCGTGACTCGGGAGCCGTCCTCGACGCGAGCCGCACCCGCACCCGCAGGGGCGCGAAGCCGCACCGACGCGAGCCGCACCCGCAGGGGCGCACCCGCAGGGGCGCGGAGGGGATCGCACCCGGCGCGCCGCGGTCTGGGCCGGGGAGCTGCCCGCCTCCACGGGGCCGCGGCGCGAGGGCGCGACGGGGGACCGCAGGTCGCGCCTCGCGGGGCCTCGCGTGGGCGAAGACTTGCCGGTCTGTCGCACGTCCCTATATCCTTCTGGTTGCCATCGCCTCACCTCGGTGCCGATCTTGAGGATCCCCTCAGCCTCTGGAGGCGCATCCCTGAGATGATCATCGCTTCTGAGGGGTAGGGATGGGTTCGGGTCTGGCTACAAAGACGGGTGTCCTGGGGGCTTCCCCGGCCTCCCTCTGGGTCTGGCCTTCGCTGTCGGAGCGAGATGGCGGGCGCTCCCGCCTCGCGCCTCGCGGCGGCGGCGCTGGCTCCTGGCCGGGTGGGGAAGCGCGGCCGAGACGACAGCTGGCTCTGATCCTCGGCGGCTGGATTTCCACACCGGGGTACTAGTGCCGGGGGGCGGGTGGCCTCTTGGGGATAGGCTCGGGGGGGATGCGCAAAGACCCCCCCCAATCGCCCATTGATCGCCGACAGGGGCCCGATAGCCCACCCCGTCCAGGACCGCGCGGAAGCGCCAATCGGGGGCCTATCGCCGATCTGTCGGTGATGCATCGCCGATTCCAGGTCGGTGCTTCCCTCCCCGAGCCAGTCCCCCCCCCTCCCCCCAGTGCCTCCCCGAAGTCTGGGCCCTTTTGGCGTCACGTCCGTCGGGTCAGGGAGGGGCGGACTCGAAACGACTCTTGGCTGCTTGGGTCGGACGAGCGGGGGGGGAACAGGCACATGGGGGGAGGGGGGGCGAAGTCTGCTGCGTGCAGCTGGTTTCGGGACACCTTCCTTCGATACGTGGGCGCCTCCCGGCGCAGGGAGGTGGTTCGCCAACTGGTTTTCGTCCGACCCGAGGGAGGGCGGATTGGGGACGACTCTGGCGTCCCCGGAGGGATCTCGAGGAGGCGCGGCCGCCGGCAAACGCCTCTGGGCACGACAGCCCGCCCCAGGGCTCCAGAAAGACTCCGAGAGACCGCCCGTCCCAGGGATCGAAGGCTGTCGCCCCAGATCGTCTCGAGAACTCGAGGCGCCAGGCCTGTCGTCGCTTTTGGCATCCGGGGGCCGTTTTTTGGGGCCTCGGGGCGGCCCCGACGGGGCCGTCAGAAGCCGACTCGGGATGCAGCGCTGGCCTCGGGGAAGGGGTCGAGACGTCCGCGGGCCCACGCATGGGCAAAAGTCGGAGCGTCGGGTGCCTGGGGCGCGGGGGTGTGTCGCAATGCCGTCGGGTGTGATGCGCCGAGGTCGTGAGCCTGCCTACGGACAGACTCTGGCCCAGCTTGGCCGCGCGAGGGGTCGGGGAGGGGGGCGAGAGGGTAAGGAGAGGGGGAGGAGGCAGGCTAGGTACGTTGACCCCATACGTCTGAGATCCTATCCATCCCACCCATCCCTTTCCATTGCGTTGCTTTTGTACTCTATCCGCAGACGGGTGTCCGAACGGACCTGGGTGACCCGACTGATCCCATCGTGTGATGAGCAATCAGATATGGGGACTCGTGTGCAATGAAAGAGGAGGACGAGGTGGCGGACGAGCAGGAGGAGGCGGAGGAGGAGGCGGAGGAGGAGGCGGAGGAGGAGGCGGAGGAGGAGGCGGAGGAGGTGGAGGAGGAGGAGGAGGAGGAGGAGGAGGAGGAGGAGGAGGAGAGGGAGGGGGAGGAGCAGCAGGAGCAGGAGCACGTGTGAGGAGCGGGAGCAGCGGCAGGACCAGGAACAGGCGGGGGATGGGGATAGCGGAGAGGGGGCGGCAACGGCGAGGAAGGGATGGGATCCAAACATGGTGGCCTGGCTGGGTCGAGAGCCAACATCGTTGATGACTCTTGGGTTTACACTGGTCCTCCTCCTCCTCCTCCCTCTTCTTCCTCCTCCTCCTCCTCCTCCTCCTCCTCCTCCTCCTCCTCCTCCCTTTAGATTGCTTCGCGCGTCGCGCCCCGCGATGCGAGACGCGCGCTCATTTCTCAACGATGGGAGCAAAGCGCTGATGTTTGCAGTGCTGCCGGAACTGCAGCGGGAACGTGTTTGAACGGCCGTGGACGTTCCTGATGGTACTCCAGATTTCGTAATAAAAGGGAGGGGGTCTGGACCCTCCAAGACAAGCCATTTCAGACCTCCCCCGTGGGAGAACCCTCCAAATCATCGTCCCTAGACCCCCCAGGCCCTCCAAGATAGCCTGGAAGAGACCCCCCCGAAATGAGACCCCCCTCCTTTTATTACGAAATCTGGAGTAAACAGTTAGTATCGAACGCCAGCTCGGGACACTCCTTTGTGTAACAAGCATCATGTGGGATACGCGCGGGAGCAACAGAAAACATCATGGGAATACAGGATAGCAGTATTCAAGTCAAGCTGGGCGCGCTCGTGGCATACATTGGCGCTACGAAGGTTTTGACTCGTTTCGTGCTTCCACCAAGACACGTCTTAGGCGGGAGCGCCGTTGCGAATTCGAGCTGAAGAAGTGCCGACCTCTACTTTCGAGGAATTCCTTGGCTGGGGCGCCATTCCGAGATCGAACCAAAGATTATCGAATTCCAGTTTTCAGGAAGTTCTTGGCGGGAGCGTGATTTCGAAATCCAGCCCAGAAGGCTCCGAAGTTTGTTTCGGGGGAAGTCCTGGGCGGGAGCACCATTTCGAAGTCGAACCAGAGAGGTGTTGAGTTCTAGGTTGGATGAAGTCTTGGGCGGGAGCGCCATTTCGAACTCGAACTCGAAAGTTCCGAAATCGTTCGGAATTATTTTTTGAGGAAGTCTCAAGCAAAACTTTCGTTCCGAAATGGCCGCAGCGTCTGGCATTTAAACTTTAATTTCTGACCGGAGATTTTGAGTGTGCGGTTTTTTGCTCGAGAGCTCCCCCCCTCAACAGAAATAATTTCGAACGATTTCGAATCTTCCAGGTTCGATTTCGAGCTAGCGCCCCCGCCCAAGATTTCCTTCATCAAACGATCTCGACTGGATTTCGAAAGGGCGAATCCCCAAGATTTGAGCAAAATTACACCAGAGAACAACCCCAATCAGTGAATGGTTTTCGCTGAGGAGATCGACCGGGAACCCGGGAGCCCGGGAACCCAGAACCCACCGAATCGGCCCGGAACCAATAACCGGGAACCCAGGAACCCAGCCTGCTACCAACATCGGCGGGCAATTTTCGCCAAATCTTTCAATTTCCGTTAGGGTCCCTTCAGTGCAAGCACTGATTGGGGAACAATGCTTGAACAGAACATTGTTGTGGGGCCCCGCGGCCTAATGGGCCCCTCTGACGTCCCCTCTCTTTTCGCGGGCGCAGCGCCAGTAACGGCGTCGTGCTGGGGCCCCGTCGCCTTCCGGGAGGCGCTGCATTGTGGCCGAACTTTCGTAGCCACGAACTAGCTGGCATCCTTTTTCTCCCATCCATGTCTTCCCATATCGCTGTGTTGTTTTCTATCGGCAGGCTGGGGTATCCTACCCCCGAACGGACCGCATCGTGCGATGCACATCGTAAGGACGCACTGCGTGAGCACGGGTACTGTTGTATCCCCGCGTCATCGGCCAATCCTTTGCCATTCACCACGTCTGGGGACCTCAAATTTGACGGTTCAAGGGCCTTGCATTCTGACCGCGCGTCCTTATGTTGGGTTTTGGCTGTACGAATAGGAGGATGAGCAGGCGGATTAGAAGTATGATGGCTAAAAGGGGGAACGAGACGATGAGCAAGCAGGAGGAGTAGCGTAGGATGAGCCAGCGAATGAGGGGAAGGCGCAGGAGGGAAATTAGAGGGAAGTACACCAACGATGACCGCAGACGGTCCAGAAATATGGTCCGTGCGGGCGATAACGCAAATCTGATTGACGGGAGCAACGCGCCGATAAATGCGGCCAACGCTGTGGGAACACCATCTTTGCAGGACCAGGAACGTTCTGATTGGAAAGGCAACATAACATAAGCCCACTTGGGGACAATCCGGTGTTTTAGGCAGGAACGGCAGGGGGGTCAGGGGAGTGGGAGGAGGAGGCGGGCGGGGACTGGAAGAAAGGAGGGGGGGCGGACGGAGGGACGGAGGGATGAAGGGATAATGAGGAGGGAGACAAGATTATGCAAGATGAGGAGAGAAAGTAGGAGGAGGAGGAGGAGGAGGAGGAGGAGGAGGAGGAGCAGGACGATGATGAGGAGGAGGAGGAGGAGGAGGAGGAGGAGGAGGAGGAGGAGAGGAGGAGGAGGAGGAGGAGGAGGAGGAGGAGGAGGAGGAGGAGAAGGAGAAGGGGGGGGGGGTCGTCCTCCTTTTCTGCCCTGCGCGATCGTGGAGTGCTAAGCTTGTCGTCGCAGCCTCGACCCGCAGGGTCCGCATGCGCCCCCCCCGCCTCATTTCAGCACACCCCTCACGGGGATCGTGGCCCCATGGGGAGCTCCACCGAAGGCCTCAGCGGCGGGGTCTGCATGCGCGCCCCCGCTCATTTCGGCACACCCCACATGTGCTCCCCCGCACAGTTCGGCACACCCCTCACGAGGATCGTGGCCACATAGGGAGCTCAGCCGAGGGCCGCAGCGGCGGGGTCTGCATGCGCACCACCGCTCATTTCGGCACACCCTGCATTTCCCCCCCCGCCCAGTTCGGCACGCTCCTCACGAGGATCGTGGCCACATAGGGAACTCAGCTTGAGGTTAGCAGAGGTCCCTCGGGACCTCTGGAGGTCCCCGGAGGCCCCCAAGAGGCCCCACAGGCCTCAGGAGGCGAGTCAAAAATAGCGACGAGAAGCAGCCACGCCAATGGAAAACCCTTGATCCTCTCTGGTGGACCCAAAAGGGGGTTCAGCGACAAGGGAGCGGTGCAATAGATTTGGTGCAGTAGGTTTGTGGGGTTGCAATCGATTCGGGGCGTGCAATACATTCCGGGGCGCAAATGCATCGCTGGATTTTCGCGTGCAATGCATGAGCTGCGATACAATGCAATGCAATTCTCCGGCGCAACACACTTGCAACACGATCGCCCCAAATCTGTTGCACCACCCCCTTTCCGCTGGACCCCCTTTCGGGTCGACCACATATCGGTCCTCCCTGCCCCTGGCCTCGACCCCCGTCGGCCGGCCCTCGAGCTTGTCGCCCGCGCCCTCTGCCCCTGCCCAGGCTCTCTGCCTCGCGCTCGGGCTCCTCCGCGCCTTCGTGCCCGGGGCGGCGCGTGGCGCCGTGGCGCACCGGCCCGCAGCGGCGCAGGTCGCCGCCGCCGCCGCCGCCGCCGCCGCCGCCGCCGCCGTCGGCGTCGTCGTCGTCGTCGTCGTCGTCGATGTCGTCGTCGTCGTCGTCGTCGTCGTCGTCGTCGTCGTCGTCGTCGTCGATGTCGTCGTCGTCGTCGTCGTCGTCGTCGTCGTCGTCGATGTCGTCGTCGTCGTCGTCGTCGTCGTCGTCGTCGTCGTCGTCGTCGATGTCGCCGTCGTCGTCGTCGTCGTCGTCGTCGTCGTCGTCGTCGTCGTCGTCGTCGTCGTCGATGTCGTCGTCGTCGTCGTCGTCGTCGTCGTCGTCGTCGTCGTCGTCGATGTCGTCGTCGTCGTCGTCGTCGTCGTCGTCGTCGTCGTCGTCGTCGGCAGGGGAAGGAGGGGGGAGGAGATGGGAGTGAATGTTGCTTGGGAGTTGAGGGAAGACGAGGCGGGGGTGGTGGAGGACGAGGAGCAGCATGGAGAGGTTTTCGATGCAGTGTAATCTCTAGATGTGCTGGGCTATGTCTACCTCGAGGACTACGAAGACGCCTACGGCGAATCACCGCCGCCCCCTGCCTTTGTGGAAGCGCCTATGTGGCCGAACGTTGAGGCCAGACCTGCCAAGCTATTGGACCATGTGTTCCCCTAATCGGTTTTGAAAGCCTTCGGGGAACACGTGGGCATCCTGAAGGTCATCTTGGCCGCCTGGAGGCCATTTTGACACTCTCGGGCCTTCTTGGAGGACGTCTTGGAGGGCTCGTGGGCCGTCTTGGAGGCCATCTTGAGCGTCTTGGGGGCCTCTTGGGCCGTCTTGGGGGCCTCTTGGGGCCGTCTTGGGCGCCTCTTGGGCCGTTCTGGGGCCATCTTGGATGCCTCTTGGGCGATCTTGGGGCGATCTTTGGGAGCTCTTGGGCCGTATCGGGCCGTCGGAAGGCCGAAACGAAGCAAATGTCAAAATCCTTCAAACACCTCGGAGCATTAGTCTTTTTGGCCTTTTCTGGCCTTCCTCGAGGCCCTCTTGGAGGCCTCTTGGGCCGTCCTGGGCCAGCTGCGAGCCACCTTCGGCCATCTTGGTGGGCTCCTGGCCCGTCTGACGCCGTCGGAAGCCGTTTCGGGGGCCTTCCTGGGCCGACTTGGGGCCCTCTTGGGGTGCTCCAGGGCCGTCTTAGAGGCCATCTTGGGCGTCTTCGAGGCCTCTTGGGCAGTCTTGGCGCCCTCTTGGGGCTGTCTTGGGGGCCTCTTGGGCCGTCATGGGGCCATCTTGGAGGCCTCTTGGGCGATCTTGGGGCGATCTTTGGGAGCTCTTGGGCCGTATCGGGCCGTCGGAAGGCCGAAACAAAGCAAAATCAAGGATTTTGGCCTCGTCGGGCCTTCAGGCCTCTTGGGCCGTCTTGGAGGCCTCTTGCGGGCCTTTTGGGCTGTCCTAGACCATATTGGGGCCATCATGGGCTGTCTTGGATGCATCTTGGGGCCATCTTCGCCGTCTTGGAGGCCATCTTGGCTGTCTTGGAGGCATCTTGCAGACTATCTTGGGCCATCCTCGCGATTTTTTGTGGATGTCCCGAGCGAAACAGCCATTTTTGGCGATGGCAACCACGTCTTCCGGGTGGCCGGCGGGACGGGCCGAAGCCCCAGGGGGAGTTCTTTTGGAAAAAGAGCCAAAACCAAAACCGAGAGGGTTCAGCACGCCAGGCGCCCCTTTGATGAATCAAAAGGGGGCGGCGGATCCAGCTGCTTGCGGCAAGTTCTGCCACCGTGCCAGCCAAACATTCTGGGTGGCGAATGTTCGAGGGGACACGTGGCACCGGAGGCCTTCATGTGCGACACTTCGTGTCTCCAGGTTTGGGAGAACCGTACCCGTGATGATGATGACGATGATGATGATGATGATGATGATGATGATGATGATGATGATGATGATGATGATGACGATGATGATGATGATGATGATGATGATGATGATGAGGATGATGATGATGATGATGCTGATGGTGATGATGATGGTGATGGTGATGCTGATAATGATGCTGATGATGGTGATGATGAGGATGACGATGATGACGATACTGTTGCTGCTGCTGCTAGTTATGATGATGATGGTGGTTATGGTGATGATGACGATGGAGGTGATGCTGATGATGATGCTGCTGATGATGATGATGATGGCGATGTTGGTGATGATGATGATCCTGATGCTGGTGATGGTGATTGTGATGATGATGCTGATGACGATGATGATGCTGGTGATGATGATGATGATGATGATGATGATGATGATGATGATGATGATGATGATGATGCTGATGCTGATGCTGACGCTGACGCTGACGCTGACGCTGACGCTGATGCTGCTGATGATGATGATGTTGATGATCACGATGAGTAATGTTGATGATGCTGTTGCTGTTGTTGCGCTTGTTGGCAACAAGGACGTTGGGAACCTACGAGTTTCGAGGCGGCTGATTGAACACGATCGGCTTGAAAGCATCCGCTGTGAACTACACACATTGCGAAGGTGTTGGGGCGCCAAGGAAATCGCAAACATTCAAACACTCCCATCGTGGCTCTTCGCGGTCATCTTTGCGACGGCCCAGCTTGCGATCACAAATGTGACAGTGGGATCTTCGAATCTGTGTGCCCCTTCAGCAGGAAATCACAAACATGTCGTAAATCTTTGTGATCCCCTGGGAATCACCAATATTCAAATGTTCCCAGCACGGCTTTTCGCGACTACGAGCCCTCGCGTGTCCCCGGCTGCTAGAGCGCGCGTGCTCGTCGCCTTTGCCGCGCTGCAATGGAAAACGTTTCAGTGCTTTGTTTTTGTTCCCCTGCGACGTCTCGATGTCTGGGTTCTCCCTAGAACGGCCTCCCGAACCTTTTCTTGGATGCGTACCGTCCATGATTTCGAAGGGAATCTGGCCGTTGCGGCGAGGGCGTTGCAGAAGTCGCCAGGAAGGACAGGGGAATTGACCCCAGGGAATTCCCAGGGCCAATTTCTCATCCCGAATTGTTTTTTCATGGTCCTGGGGCCCGTGGGGGGGCCACAGGGGCCCGAACATGGAGAGGAATTTCCAGGCCCTTCTTTCCTCCAGGACCTGGCTCCTTGAGGCTAGAGAAGGCCCTTACCAGAGAATGAAGGGCCAAACGTAGCACAACTCTTTTTGGATCGGCGGCTCGCGGGCGGGAGTGGCGCGAGTGGTGTGTGTGTGTGTGTGTGTGTGTGTGTGTGTGTGTGTGTGTGTGTGTGTGGGGCGGCTTTCGAAGCGCTCCTGCCTTCTGCGTTCTGAGAAGCGCTCCAGATGTGGTTTCTCAGAAGCGCTCCTGTCTTCTCAGAAGCTTCCACTGCAGCCTGCCTCTCTCGCCCCCGCCCCTTTCCCCCTTTCCCCCTTCCCCCACCCTCCCGCTTCCTGTCGACCGCGCGTAAGCATGACCCTTCGCTGGAGTGACCGTTGGTGCGGGTCCGCAGCCCTCCACCTCTGACCCAGAGGCAAGGAAAAGCCATCATCATTACCACAGCAATATTCCCGCACGCCTTTGAAGCCAGGAGACGGGCGATAAGGAGGATGGGCATGCGTGAAGCATGAAACCGATTTCCTGGTGAAGGGGCAAAGCGATTCGTGCCCCGCACCTGTGGCCACAATATGCTTATTCCGTAACCACCACAGGGGGAGACTTAGACCTATTTGGGTTCCCTCATACCCCGACAGGAACTCAGATGGCGAGGTCCTGGTGCTGCTTTTGTAGCCCTCCTGGAAGGCAAGGGGAAGTGAACCCCCCTGCTCCCCCGGCTCTGGCCTGCGCGTCTGGACTTGGCCCTCCCCTGGCAGCCCCTTGAGGCCGCCCGCCAGAGCCCCCCCCCCCTTGCCCCCCCCTCTGCCCGGGGCCACTCCTGCGTGCGGCCGGGCTTGGCGCGCCGCCAGCACTGGCACCAAGTCGGGCACGTCCCCCTGCATGGGGAATATTCAAAACGCTGGAAAGGATAGTCTGGGGACGATTTTTGGACTACTTTGATCGTTGTTGGGATGTTTTTGGCATATTCTTCAGTTGTTGTTCAAAAATTCGCCTCTAGGAGGACATGTCCGACCAAACAGTGGCAGCGCCCACTGGGGTGGCGTCGGACGGGGCTCGGATGAGGATAGATCCGTCGCAGAGCGTTCCGGAGCGCTTGCAGAGCGTTCCGGAGCGCTGTGGGAATGCCGCGGCGCCCGAGGCATCTTCCAGAGCCGCCGGATCTTCGCTTGATTTTATCCTCGTCCTGGCCTTCCTCTTGTGAGGGAAGTGGTCCTTTTAAGAAGGCGGGAGGGGGGCTTTCAGAAGGCGGGGGCCGTCGTAGAGGGCCCCAGGTCGATGGTTCAAAGATGGGGTCCTGAGGGATGGGCTCCCAAGGGCGAGTTGCCTCCACCAAAGTGAATTCAACCTTGGATCCCCTTCTACGGTCGGGCCGAGGTAAGATCGAAGTCGGTTCAGCGAGGGTACCCCAATGCTCTTCGTGTTTGTTAGACGTTCTTGTGCATCCTTGGGGAGGGCCCCCTCGAATGTTCTTCAGTTTGGCCGGCGGAAGGTCTCAATGTTCTTGAACGTTCTTCCGTCCTAGGTCCAGCCGCGAGGGCGAGGTGCCTCAAACAGCGAAAACTCAATATTGGACCCCTTCCCATCCTTGGGGCCGCATCCCCCAGGACCCGAATTTTTGAGCCACCGACCAGGAACCGACTCCACGGGCTGGGGCCCCAGCCCCAGCCCGTGTGTGCGTGTTGCCTCACTCATGTTCCGACTTGCTCCTCAACGCACGGTCTGCCCTCTGGGGGACCGCCCCGGTTGCCGGAGCAGGCACGCAGACATCCATGCCATCCATGCCATGCCATACGTCTTCTTAGAGCTTACTCCAGATTTTGTAATAAAAGGGAGGGGGTCTGGACCCTCCAAGACAAGCCATTTCAGACCGACCTCCCCCGTGGGAGAACCCTCCAAAACATCGTCCCCAGACCCCCCAGGCCCTCCAAGATAGCCTGGAAGAGCCCCCCCCCCGGAAATGAGACCCCGCTCCCTTTATTACGAAATCTGGAGCATGTATCAATCCTGTGCTGTTTAGCCGATGCGCCGTGCGGCTCCACTGACTGACCGACCGACCGGGAACCTCCACGAAGGCCCCCCCTGGAAGCCAGGCTCGCCCGCGCCCTCGCCCTCGAGCTCGGTCGGGCGGTCGGCTGCCGCGGCTCCCGCGGGGCCTCCCCCCCCCCCGAGGCGGGCGGTGTCCCGATCGGGCTCGAGGAGCAGCCCCAGGAGCGGCCCTCACGCGCCCCCCCGCGCCCCCCTTCCTGAGCCTCCTCCCGCGCTTCCCTGCCTCCTCGTGGCTCCCTCCTCCTCCTCCTCCTCCTCCTCCTCCTCCTCCTCCTCCTCCTTTCTACCGATCGCTCCCCTTGCGCCCCCCGCCTCCTCCCCTTCCTACTCCTTCCGTCCGTCCCATCGTCCTCCTCCTTCCTCTCCTTCACCGCCGCCTCCCCTCGTTCCTCCAGCTCCTTGTCCTCCTCCAACTTGTCCTGGCTTCTCGCTCTTCCCCTGTATCTTCTCCATCCTTCTCCTCTTTCGCTTCTCCTCCTCGTCGTGTGCATATGCATGCTGCGTGCCCTCTGGCTGGCGGCCGCCTGCGATTGCGCCGCCCCCTCCTCTTTTGGCTCCCGCCTTGACAGGGCTGTTGCGTGGAGCGGTGTCGGCGCGCCATCTGATAAACAAGATCACTTAGCTTCCCGGGGGTTCGTAGGGGGGGTTATCCCAAGATGGGGTCAGGAAACGAACCAACTTGGATCCTCGCGTGTTCTTCCTCTTGGAGGGCATTTGGAGCGTTTTTTTCTAACTCCACCTCTGCCCCTACCCCACCTTGACGCCCCCCCCGAGGTTCACAGCCAGTGGACTATGAACACGATGAGAAGAGCGCACCCAGGTTGACGGCCCGAGCGCACATCCACATCTTTAACGAAGACCTTCGGTACACATCCAGTGGCGAGGCGGATGGCATACCACATCACATGCAAGTTGTGCTCGGCCGTTGCCAGAGTGACACTGCCACGCAAGGTGCACGTGGCGACGAACCCAGACAGGCCCAAGCCAGCCTCACGATGTTGCGCTCCAGTTGGAACAATTGGCTCGTCCTGGCTGGAGCTTTCGAGGAAGGAAGATCGATCGGCGTGTACGTACCCGCACCGTTGCTCTTCTCATTGGCGGCTCTCATACTCATTCTGTGTCACGCGGGCGACCAGTTTGACGACTGGCAGCAGGGTTGCTTCAAGGCGCCATATTCGTTTGTCGACCACGGACAGCGACCAGCATATGAGGGTTGGGCTCGACGGTATATACTTGTCTCGTCCACGAAAAATAGCGACCCCGTGATTACAGTGCAAGTTAACGAGAATGACGATTGGCAGCGAGATAGGGTTGAAGTGGATCGGCGAAGCGGGGTAGAAATGATACAGTATCATTGACCACATGGGGACAGCGTGGGCGCCGTCAACCAAGGCCTGGGGTGTAACGGCCTATCTTGCTACACATGCGGAGGTTCCTTTCATTTTACCAGTAAATGCACACGAGGAGGTAGCAACGACAATGCTCGTCGTGGCGGCCAAGGAGCCCGCCAAGCGTGCATTAAGGAGTGCGGCAAACGCATTGCTGGAGGTACAGCAGCCTCGCGGCGGCGCGGGAAAGAACGGTGAGGGTGGATGCGAGCCAGTTGCAGAAAGGAGCTGCTACGTGCGTGGAGACGGAGCACGTGGCCAGTCAACGGCCCCAAAGGTAAGGGTGCGCGCGGATCGATTTCAATGGCGATGGCGGGTCACCGCTGTCGCTTGGTTAACCATCGTCGGACATTTCGAATGTCGATCTGTCAGAGGTTGGCTTGGTGAACAAACATAGGTCCACCGGTAGCCCTCCAGGATGAGAACGTCTGTGCATGGCCCGAACTAGAGTCAACGGGTTGATTGAGATACGCAGGTCGCGGGGGGACCATTGCGCAGAGCACGGAGGCGCATATACGAACGACCCTTGGAGGGGCAGAATCAAAGGGTGCGTGATTCGTAAAAGGGGGCGGTTCCAGACGTGAGCAGGAGTGCGCCTTGTAGATATCACAGGGCCGACCTCTTCAGGTGACGTTGTGCTCAAGGACGACGTGCAAGTAGGGATCGAAGTTGTAGTCGTTGCAGTTGATTCGGGCGTCTGCAATGCCGTTGGCCCGTCGGGAGGGGGAGCGTACTTCCATTAACAAAAACCCGCAGGGTCGTCCCTGTCCGGACGGCGCCATAGCGCAGCCGACGGGTCAAGTATCAGAAGCCGCGGGCAAAGGACTCTAGCGAGATTAAATGAGCAGAATTGGTTAGTTAGCATGCCCGCTCAGGGTGCATGTGCCGAGAAGGTTTTAGGGCCGTCTCGGGAAGTGGCAGAGGCATGTAAGGGAATGCCGCTATATCGTGACAAGCAATGTGTCTCTTGCAGTTGCTTGGAACGCAGGGCGTCTGGATAATGGGCGGCGGCGATCCGCGAGAGAAGCGGTAACTTCAGTTTGCCATTCAGGTGCCGGGAGGGGATAACCCAGTCGTTTCTGAGAAGTTATTCCAGGAAGCAACCGGATCATGTGGGCGTCCGAGGCAGGGGGCCGTTGTTGGGGACCTGTCTTAGTATGCCTCGATGAACCGCGAGCCCCAGTGGTGCGCCTGTAATTCTTGAAGCTGAAGGTCAAGGCAAACATGGGAGCTCGGGCAGCGAGGCGAGTGACGTTGAAAGCGCATTTGTAGAGGATGACGGCGCAGGCCCGAACATAATCAATTACGATTCCCGATCAAGTGGAGAAGGGGAGGGGTTGCACAAGAGGGGCCGCCTTCATGTGCTTGGCGCCCCTCCTGAGTAAGCGGGGAAAGCACGGAGCCCCGGGGTTGAGCGCGGCTGGCTTGGAGGGCAAATGCCGATCATACCAGTGGGTTCTGGGTGGTCTAAATGGGGAGAAAGACGGCGGCCAGGAAGGAGTCTGAGGCAATCCCATCTTCGCGGACTGCGTTGGAACCTAAGCGCGCGGCGTGTGGTTCTAGTGCTTGAATGTGTTAGGGAGCATGTAGAGGCTGAGATCGAGACGTGGTCGTTAGAACCGAGGACATTGTCAACCGAAGGAACCGACAGACCACAGCGCCAAGGTCATGGGGCAGACCAGCCGGCTGCTCGTTTTCACGCTGGCCTAGGCGATACGCATATGTTGGTTATGTGTTTTGTTCTGTTGGTGTTATTTTCTAACGCATGCCTCCAGTATCCGGTAAGCGCTAGTGCCCGATGGACCCCCCGTCCTGTTAGTTTGCTGTAGAACTGTGATGCGGTTTATTTGGTAGCAAAACAACAGTGATCTAGACTGTTTCGCGGATGGAACAGTGGTTAATGAAGGTCCGGTAAAGTAACGGGCAGGACGTTGCTTTTGAGTGAATTGAGTCCGCACATTGACTTAGTTTATGCTGGCACTTCCCTGCCACCTGTGCGGACGATTCGTCTGTGCGTGTGTCTGTGTGTGCGTGTGCGTCTGTGTGTGTTTTTGTTTGTGTGTGTGCTCGGGCGTTTAGACGTGCGCGCTTGCTTGCTGTTTTCAACCTCCTACGCCTCGACGCTGCGCGCGAGGCCGCGACACCCAAACACGTTTGTGTGTGCTAGACTGAAGGTTAGCAATGGTTGGGGAATGCAGTCGCAGTTTGGTTCGAGGGTTAGAAGACGATGCTCAGCGGCAGGCGCAACGCATTCACTTAAGGTACCCTTCGCAGATATCGTCCTGCATACACATCGCCTGGTACGTTTGCAGGAGGAGGGGGGGGTGGAGGAGGAGAAGGAGGAGGAGGAGGAGGAGGAGGAGGAGCAGGAGGGGAACGGTGGGAGGAGGAGGAGGCGGGCGGTGGGAGGAAAGTGAGGGCGAGGAGGAGGAGGAGGACCAGAGCCAACCAAATCGGCGACGTTGCCATACACCGTCTGGTCCCAAGTCCCCTCCTCGCACGCCCTTGCAAGGCCTCCTTTTCACCGCGAAAGCGCCGCCCTTCTTCGAAAGGCCAGTACAGCTGTGCCCGTCGTTTTGGCGAGGGCCCGCTGTGAAACGGAACTGCTTTGCATCTCTCTGGCGCGTAAGCAGGAGCGCGACTGGCGAGATCACTCTTTCGAAGACGGGCCGCCCCTTCCCCCATCCGTGTAACTGTTGCACGAGCCTGCGCAGGTGGTCATGAGCTTCCAGGACGACGGATCCATTTTGAAGAAGGGTCGCCATGGATCCGTGCAGCGCTACGTGCGTTGAAGTTTCGGATCTTCACGCCCGGCGACGTCTCGGGTGAGAGTTTCATGCTGAACAAGACCATATCTTTCGTCCAGCAAACCGACAGACGCGGGGGCGAAACTCCCCTCCTGAAAACGTGCTTGATCTTGGGAGCTGTTGCGAGATTTTGAGACGAACGCTCTCTGCGCACAGGCCAAAACCCACTTAGAAAGGAATTGCCCGCCACCCGTGAAGCGAGTAAACACTTGTGAATCGAATGTGACCGACGTTACGGCAAGAACACATTGTCCAGCCGGTGGCCTTTCCCATTTTTGTTGCCGTTGCGGACCTTTTTGATCGCGGCGCTAGGGCGAGACTTATACTTTGAACACGGTCCCGCCTTCACCAGTGAACGTGTTGCAAACTGTTAAACGCATGCTCGTGGCGCTAAAGCGAGCGTCACATTTCGAACAACGAAAATCTCGTCATCCGCGAAGCTGATGAAACTTTATCAAGACGAGTGTGCGCGGCGCTAAAATAATAACATTATTTTGACATCGATCCAATTCATCCGTGAAGCGGGTGCAAACTTTTATGACGAATGTGCGCGGCGATAAGGCCAGACGCATCTACTGACAACCAGCCCCGTCCATCCGTGCGATGGTTGCACGTTTCAAACTTACGGATCATACATGGCGAGTGTGTCAGCAGTGAAACACCCGGCCCGCTTTACCGACACGTTTAGGGGTGCGACAGGGAGGAGTCATCAAAACAAGCAAGAGATGGGGGAGCTGGAGGAGGAAGAAAAAACAGATGCCGAGGGTGGGAACATGAGGAGGAGGAGGAGGAGGAGGAGGAGGAGGAGGAGGAGGAGGAGGAGGAGGAGGAGGAGGAGGAGCAGGAGGAGGAGGAGGAGGAGGAGGAGGGAGGGAGGAGGAGGAGGAGGAGGGAGGGATCATCAGCAGCAGCAGCAGCAGCAGCAGCAGCAGGAGGAGGAGGAGGAGGAGGAGGAGGAGGAGGAGGAGGAGGAGGAGGAGGGGAACTGCACTTCCCGCAGGAGTCGCCCCTGCTCGGCGCGGCCACCCGCCTCCTCGCCGGGGCCGCGGCTGCGGGCCTGCTGGCGGGCGCCTGGGCGGGCGCCGCGCGTGCGGAGATCGAGGACGTGGCCATCCCGGTGGACGGCAAGGCCCCCGCGCGGCTCCGCGGGCGGATCGGCCGCCGAGTCCGGGGGCGGAGGAGGAGGAGGAGGAGGAGGAGGAGGAGGAGGAGGAGGAGGAGGATCGGGTGTTGCTAGAAATGCTCCTGGCCCAAGGTGCTCCCAGCTTTTCGCTCCATTTTGTGGCCCCTGGGGCCCTCTGGTCTCGCAAGGGGTGCTCTGGAGGCCGTCTGGGCCACCCCGAGAATCCTGGGGGCACCTTGGGCCAGGGGCACTTCTAGCAACACCCGAGCCAAGGAGCTTGTTTTAGAGCTCACGATTCTTGCGCCTTACGGTGGCCACGTCAGAACAACGGAGGGCGATAGAGGAATGTAGGTACGATCGAAATGGTACGGGAAGAACGGGGGCACAGACCGACAACAGTTCCTGCCCGTTTTGGACAGGGCTCGCTGGCGGTATCGCCATCGACGCTGTCCCTTGGAGCCGAAGGTCGATTGCCGAATCATTTCGGCCGTTGTCGGTCTCGAACAACCATGTGCTGCTCGGCATCGTGCAATCTCTTTCCGTACCCATGTCGGGCGCGCCAAAAGGCGAGGGTGGGGGGATGCAGGACAAACAGGGGGGTGGGTGGGTGGAGAAGCAATTTGGGATCGCTCGGACGTGTCCATGTTTTTCGGCAGGGACCATCGAGGAGCCTCTTGGGTCAGCTTACGACAGAATGTGCGCACGAAGCCGAGAAATGCACGGGGAATGGACGTCCGAGCGGTGGCGAGGCAAGGGTGCCCGCGGTTCGCTCGGTTCGCCTGCCTCGCGGTCGGTTGCTGCGCCCTTGCCGCGCCGCTGTGCCCCTCCGGGCTGAGCGCCGCCCGTTGGCTTCGGTCGTTTTCGGTCTCGGCTTCGTCGTCGGTCCGGTTGGGTTTCAGTTGTGCTGCCGCAGTGGACGGCCTTGGCATCGGGGGCGGGGAGGCCAGGCGGAGTGAATGGCCCGCGAAGCGATCCAGGAGGGCCCAGGTCCCTGGACGGGGGCGAATGGGCCCGTCGTGGTTCATCCACGGCGCCCGGCTGTGATGGGAGCCGGCTCCTCCCAGGGCAAGACCAGGAACCTCAGCAAGGAGGAACTCATCCGCGGCAAGCGCCTGTTCAACGTCGCGTGCGGCACCTGCCGCGCGCCAAGCGGCGCTCGGGGGTCCCCCACCGGAGGACGTGGAGGAGGATGGAGGAGGAGCAGGAGCAGCAGCGAGCACAAGAGAAGACGCGCCGAGTCAAACGTGTGACACACGGATGGGCCGACGTAGGACAGAATCCTATCCCTCGAGGACATGAGACCCTCCGCCGGCCAAACTGCAGAACATTCGAGGGTACCCTGCCCCAGGATGCACAAGAGCAGTACACAGACACGAAGGACATTCGAGGGTACCCTCCTCGAACCGACCTGGATCTCTGTGCCTCGGTCTGGCCGTACCATCAGAGCGAGGGGCCCGAGCGGTCTTACTTCGTCCCTGCGCGCGCCTGGCTGGATGGATCAGGGGCAACGATAGGGGGGATAGGCATAGGGGGGGATGCATCGACCCCCAATTGCCCATTTATCGCCGATAGGGGCCCGATAGCCCCAACCTGCCCAGGAAGGTGCGGATTCACTATCGGAGGCCTATCGCCGATCTATCGACGATGTATCGCCGATTCCAGGTCGATGCATCCCCCCCTATGCCCATGCCCCCCTATCGTTGCTCCTCAATGGAGGGCTCGGTCTAAGGGGTCGGCACTCGGGGGCAAGACATGGGGGGCAACCACACAGGGGCGATGCTTGGGGGTAGTGCACGGGGGCAGCACTTGGGGGCAAGACGTAGGGACAGTACTTGGTCGGACCGAGGTCTAAGATCGACCGAGGTCTGAGATCGAGGTCGGTCCAGGCAGTCTATCCTCAGTTTTTCGTGTTTGACGGATGTTCTTGTACGTTTTTTGGGGGGGGGTATCTTCGGTGATCTTATGGTTTGGGGTGTTTTGGCGGGCGGAGGGTCTCATGTGAAGTATGTCTTTTGTTCTAGGTCTGGCCGTACGTGGGGTCAGTGCATGGGGCAATGCATGGGGCCGGCACTTCGGGGCAACATTTCGGGTCAACACATCCGGGCAGCATTTCCCGCCCGCGCACTCTTACCCGTAAATGCAGTGTGCTGCGTATTAGCGCACTCTTATGCGCAGCATTGGGTCGACCTCGGGGCACACGCAGCGAGGAGGGTCAGTTAGTCCAAGTGGGAATCACCCCAGCAAACAAAAACCGCACGAATTGACCAGACACTCATGTGAAAAAGCGCCGCCACTGAAAGGTGTCGTCTGACATATAATGAGACGGCCCGAAAGTGACTCGTAGGATTACCCTTCGCGTCATTGCAAAGTGGTCTCGGCGCCAATTCTGCTGCGGGTTATTCCCATCACCCCTCCCTTCTTTCCTGATTCTCTTCCTCGTCCCCTTCCCTCCTCCTCCTCCTCCTCCTCCTCCTCCTCCTCCTCCTCCTCCTCCGGTTCATGGTTTTACGGTTGCGTTCAAAGCCCATACAAAGCTTGATATTGCACAACAATTATGGATAAGGATTGTAAGCGCCTAAGAGAAGAAGGACGCAAGGGCGAGAAGAGGGATGGAGTAGGGAAACAAGGAGATAGGTGCATCCGAAGTCATTTGCCTCCAGCACCCGCCCAGGGTCCCTGCCACAGAATGCTGGAGTCTTTAGCAATTTGCAGCAGAGGCATGGGCGCATTCGGCCGAGATCAGAAGCGACCTCTGCTGGAATTTTCGTCCTTCCCCCAACTGTCTCCTCCACAGAAGCTCAGCGCTACCGTTCTACAGCGCAGTGGAAGGAGGGAGGGCCTGTGAGTGAAGAGGAGGGGGACGATCAACCACCCGATTCTGCTCAGCTGATGTTGGCCACGGGGTGCGTTGATCTGGCAGCCTCTTGAGGCAGCTGAACGCTGCGCAGGTCCGGGGAGAGACGAGTGAACACCTGCCTGAAGAGTGTCCCTGCGCCCAGGCATCCCCGTGCCCGAGCCCCGCACATTCGAAGCAGAAGAAGCGACGCTGCACGATACGGCACACGGGACGCAACACATGCTATGCTACATTGGTGCGATGCAATAATTTGGAAGTACATTGAGTGGTGCTACACGGTGCTATGCAACACGCTGGACGCAAACACGGTACCTTGCACGATGCGATGTAACACAGTGGAAGCAAACGACGCTGTGCCACAGTTTCTGCAGTTACGCCCGTGAAATCCCCTTACTCTGGTGATTCCGACCCCCCCACCCTTCCCACCCCTTCAAGCAGAGCCCATGCTGTGGCCACGCCTGGCCTACACCCCTGCTAGCTGGGGAGGGAGGACAAGGAGGAGGAAGACGATGAGGAGGAGGAGGAGGAGGAGGAGGAGGAGGAGGAGGAGGAGGAGGAGGAGGAGGAGGAGGAGGAGGAGGAGGTGGTCCTCAATAGCTGGGTATACAGACGGCGGCGCTCCAGACATGAGCCTGCCTCCCAGTGCTGAAGGAAAGACGGACAGTAGGCGAACAGCGAGTGCCGTCTGGGCACGTCGTCGCCATTGTCGCCGTAGTCGTTCCTTCCCATCCACCCTCCTTCTGCAACCCCTCCCCCCCAATGCTCCATGGAGAACACCGCAATTATAACGGACAACAGAAACGCCTGCTCCTGCAGTCTGCTACACGAGGAGGGAGAGGGAGGAGGTATAGAGTTGCCGGTGCAAATGGGACGAAGGGGAAACACCAACCGCCCGTTCCGCTCAGCGGCTCTGAGCCGCTGGATTCCCGATCGAGCGGCTCAGGCGGTCGCACGCCTGACCGCTGCTGCACGCGGCGAGGGGCCGGGCTGAGGAGAGGTCCTCCGCCTCCGCCGTGAACGGATCCAGCAAGCCACGGGGGGCGATGGCAGGGTGCCAGCTTCGAGCGCCTCTCGAAGCACGCGGGACTCGGCCCCTCCTCGGCGAGCCTCGGCCCGGGAGGCCTGGCGTCGTTCCCCTGCCACGCTCCTCCCCTCCCTCCCAAAAGCCCCCTGCCCCGCCCCCGCCACCCCATTCCCGCATCCTGCTCGGCTGGCAGCCGGCATTGCGCGCGGCCGTCGGGCATCCAAAGCATGAACAGGAGTGAGAAGGGGCGATAAGGGGGAGAGGGGGAGGGCATGATGGAGGGGACGGGGTGTGGATGCTGCAAACTGCACGCTTCACACAAGCTGGGGCGATCATCTCCGTTGCACCCTCATGCCTGTACCACGCGTAGGGCAGAATCTGTCCCTACATGGTGGCATCGCCTTTGGGATTGGCTTCGGCCGTGCACGGAAGGAGATCTCAGGCCTCGCGCTCGCCTGCTTCACCGCGCCTGGGCCAACGGCCGTCTGTTCGGTGGCCTCGCCCGTCGTCTCGGAGGATTCCTCGGCCCCTTTCCCCTCCTGCTCGACGGGCTGCTGCTCCCCGGCCCGATCTCCAGCCGTCCGCTCGGTGGATCCCTCGGCGTGGTCCTCTGCGAGCGCTGATGTCGTTCATCTGCTGCTTAAGGTTGTCGCACACTTCTGAAGCCGTAGCCTTTCAATCAGAGCTGCTAGCGTCACACATACGCTTGCTCTTGAGAGTATAGAGTTCCAAATTAAGCTTCAGGAGTAGACCTGGCAACTCTTCAGGATGGCTGAGCACATTCAGCCCTGAGAGTCAGCATAATGTCCTTGACGTGAGCCAACTGATCCTGACATCGCTTCTTTGCGCCCTGCACATCCGCCGAGTTGGTGTCGTCGCAGCTCGAGTCTCCTATGACGTACTCGCAAACAGTGGGGCTTGCTGGTATTGCATCGCTGCTCTCCTCACTGGGGAGCACTGCTCAGGCATCATCCGTTTTATCGGTCTTGTGGGCGACCAGAAGCTTCTCGAGCGCCCTCTGCACGCGTCGGCGCATGCTGGCAGGGGGGTGCGCCAACACTCGCCTGCTGTTTCTCCATTTCCTTGGCGAGCTCTGGACCACCTCGAAGGACAAATCCTACTCGGGCATCCTCTGTCTGCGCTTTCCGCTGGAGGCCCAACTGTGCAGGAGCTTCCTGCATCATGGCCTGGAACTCGCTAAGGTGCTGCTCCCCGTTACCGCCTCGACCTCTGGCCCGCTGCCCAACTTCAACATAAGACTCGCTGCCTCTTCCACCGAGCAGGCGTATGCAAAAGACAAACCATGCCGAATTGTGATGCCCCTTCTCGGCATCAAATGGGGGACACCCTCTCTGGGAGGGAAGCCGTGAAGACAGGCCAGTATGCAGATATCAAAGCTTTGAGCCGAATTGCTACGGACTTCTCCTCCTCCTCCTCCTCCTCCTCCTCCTCCTCCTCCTCCCCCGTTGCAACCACAGCAACCACACACACAACGACGATTCTTATTCTGCGAACTATGGTGCCTCTCATGTGGGGTCCACCCGTTGGAGTGCGACTGGGTAAGCGCGTAACACTCCGGAAGCGAACGGGTGGTCGGGGAACGCGCTCTCGTCCCCCAAAGGGGCCTCCCGGTCTCCCTGGCCCGCGTGCTCGGAAGGGGGTGCCCCCCAGGGGAGCCGTGCGCATCGTTGTGGCCGTGAGGGCTCTGGCCCCTCGGGGTCCCGGCCTGCCCTTGTTTTGAAGACCAAGCGAAGCTTACCTCGGGACCCCAGGAGATCGCTTGCCTGCTTGCTGCTCGGACGCCCCCTTTCCCCCGCCCTCTCCCTCATCCTCTCCCTCCTCGTCCTCCTGGTCCTTCTCCTGCCTGTCTCTCCTTCTCCCCCGTTCCCTTCCTCCCCCCCCCCTTCCCGCTGCCCCTGCCCATGCCCTTGACCCTCCCCGTCTTCTCCCGTCCCACACGCTCCGCGCCCGTGTCCCCACCAGCCCATTCAGAGGCAGTCACTGGGATTTGACCTGATGAGACATGTGTAGCAGCATGCAGCGGAATGGCTACGAGCTTGTCAGGAGCTCTTCGTGGGAACTTTTGAGGGGGTTTAGGAGGGGTGGGTCTGGATGGGGGGTGGGGGGGTGGAGTGTGGAGGGGGCGTGGATGGGAGGGGTGGTGGTGGATCGGGCTTGGAGACGAGGGGGTGGGGTGGAGGCGGGTGTAGAGGGGGGTTGGAAGGTCCAAAACCTCGCAGAATGGGGGAGGGGGTATGGGGGAGGGGGAATCCCCTCCCCGAAGGGGAACAGGGGCGCCAGCAGAGCGAGCTCGCTGGACCACTCACGCCCAGAGGGCTGGTTGGATCTTCTCCTCTTCCCTACCCTGCATTCCTCCTGCCCCTCTCCCTCTTGCTGTCCTGTTTCCGTATCCCCGCCCCCTTGTTTGTTTCCTCTCCTCCACATTTCGACTCCTCCTTCCTCCCTCCTCCCTCCCTCCCTCCCTCCTCCCTCCCTCCTCCCTCTACATTTCGACTCCTCCCTCCTCGACTCCTCCCTCCTCCTGCCTCCTGCCTCCTCCCTCGAATGGGGCTCCGACGCCGACCCTTCTCCCTTCTCCCTCCTGCTCATCGGCTGCCGCTTCTACGCTTTCTTCCCTCCCCCCCTCTGTGGCCAAGGCCACGTTGGCGGCGGTACCCGCACCAACCAGAGCGTGGGCCTCGGCATCGAGGAGCTCTCCGGCGCGTTCCCGCCGCGCAACACCATCGACTCGCTGGTCGACTACATCAACGCCTGCTCCCTCAGCTGGGCTCCGGTGCGACGGCGGCGACGGCGACTGTTTTTTCTTCACCCTCGGAGGTTCCGGGTGTCGGGTCCGAGTGCCCGCGGCACAGCCCACGACGCCGAATGACTCGGTCGAGAGCTCCGTAATCCCACGTACGTCGGGTTCCTACATGAGTGCCAGGGTGGCGCCACCCGGGCCGACAGCCCCACATCGACCCTCATCGCGGGCAACGACCTCGCCAAGGAGGCGCCGAGTTTCCGAGCGCGGCGCGCCGACGTGGCGAGGTTGACCCCGTCGGATAGGGGTACCCTGAAGTCGGGCCTGTCCCTCTCCTCTACAGGAGGAATTTTCAAACATAGTTTAAACATAGTTTGGGGACGAGTTTTCTATTTTGACTATTTTTGACAATTTTTTGGATATCGTGCATTTTTCGTCCATGCCCGACCTAAGGGTACCCCCCACGTCCTGGCAGCAACACGGACTACAGTGACGACGATGACAGATGAAGCAGATCGGGTTTGGCAGGGGCTCGCTCTTCCTTCGGTCATGTCATGCTTTTCCTTCCAGCACTCCTCTTGGAAGGCCGCTCGGAGGCCTCTTGGGGCATCTAGGTCTGTTTTGAAACTCAGACTACAGTTAGGTCGGGCATGTCCCCCTACAGGCGGATCTTGGACGAAACATTCAAACACAGTTAAAGCATATACAATAATGGTCAAACAATGCACAACAACTCGTCCCATGATTTTTTTTGGACTGTTTTCGAGCATTCCCCCTCTAGAGGGACAGGCCCGACTCAAGACTGCAGTGACGACGCAGCAATAAGGAGCAGGTCGGGTGCGACAGGGGCCCGCTGTTCCTCAGGTCCCCTCAGTGTCTGCTCCCGTGGCACTCCTCTTGGGAAGCCTCTCGGCGGCCTCTTGTTGGGGCATCTCGGGGCGTTCCGGCTTCTTCCGCAGCTCGGTGTGCAGTCGAGGCGCCGACAGGAGGAGCAGTTCGGGTCTGGCGTTGGCTCGCTGCTCCCCACGCCCCTCCCTTTTTGTCCCTCCAGCGCTCCTCCTGGGGGGCGTGCGCGACCCGCCTCCCTCCTCCTTTTTCTCGGAGGTCTTGGGGTGAGGGCAGACATCCACCATCGCCAGCCGTTCGGAGGCCCGAGCAGGGCCCAGATCGTGGAGGACGTCGCCTCCTGGCCAGGACAGCAAGCATCATGCAGATGCTTGTTGGTGATTGATCGGTCCATCGCTTGCACTGGGTTGGATGAACGGGGGGGAATCCTTCGTCTGCTACTGGGGGTCAGCCTTGTGGGGGATCAGGAAGGGGAAGCTCACTTTCGCTGATTTTCCTTTTTCGGGGTCGTTTTTTTCACCAAAAGCGAGGCCTTCCTCATTTTCTCCTGGGCAGCTCCTCTGGAAATACTTTGCCCAAGCCAGTATCCTTCTCAGACAATCCGTTCTCCTTAGCTTGCCCTTCGCTGATTCTGACCCCCAGTAGTCTGACCCCCATGACCAGGCGAATGAGGAACAAGGGAAGGGGGCGGTGTACAAAGTCTGCCGCATGCAGCTGGTCTCTCGGGCCCGCCGCCAGAAAGACTCCTCGACACGCGGGCCGACTCGCTAACCCCACCTCTACCGTCGCCCCCCGTCTCGTCCGACCCGATCGGTAGCGGAGGAGGACGACGAAACAGGTGGAGATGCGGCCGCAGATCTCTGGTTCGCCTGCGTGCCTGCCAGGCGAGGGCGCCCGCGCTTCTTTGGCTCTCTCGCGGCGCGCGGGCGAGATCGGTCCGAGGCCCCGACCACCTACGACGGCCTCAAGGACCCCGTTGCCGAGCCCGCTCCGCTTGTGCTTTTCATGTTCGTTTGTTTTATTCGAAGAAGAAGCAACGGCATAAACATGCATGTTCTGCCCTCTGCGCAGAGTGTTTGGATCGGCGCTGGGCCCCCCTCTGGCGGAGCCTGCGGCGCCGCCCCCGGCGCGCTCCGCGCGCCAGGGAGGGGTGATTTAGCGCAGATCCAACACATCAGTGCGGGCATCTAACAGTTTATGTTTTTTCTTCCTCTGCTCACTCTTCGTTCGTTGTGCTGCCAGGCCTCAGATTACTTGTGCTGCGATTTTTGGTTCTTGATGCCAGTCAGGACGACTGTCGCAGTTACCAGTACCGTCACCGCTACCAGTGTGTCAACGCTTGCCACTACGACCCCTGCTGTAGGTACGGATGATTTGACCACAAGTGTCGAAGATGCTTACGGCGAATCACCGCCGTCCCCTGCATTTCCGGAACCCCTATGTGGCCACACGTTTGGGCTACGTTTGTTCACGCTATTGGACCATGCGTTCCCCCAGTCATTGTGGAAGCCCTTCGGGGAACACGTGAGGGAGGAATAGGAGGATGAGGAGGATGAGTAGAAGGAGGAAGAAGGATGAGGAGAAGGATGAGGAGAACTCTTGGGAGCTTCTCGGGTCACTCTTTGGGCCTCCTGGGAGGGAGCCTCCTGGGGGCCTCTTAGGGGCCTGCTTGGGTCTCTTGGGGGCCTTTGGGGGTTTCTTGGGAGCATCCTTGTCCGTCTTACGGCGTTCCTGGCCCGTCTGACGCCGTCGGAAGCTGTCTTTGGAGCCTCTCTGCGCCGTCTTGGGGCGCTTCAGGGTTGTCTTCAAGGCCATTTGCACCCTTTGGGGGTCGTCTTGGGAGCCTCTTGTGCCGTTCTGGGGCCATCTTGGAGGCCTCTTGGGCACTCTTGGGGCAATCTTTGGGGCCCGCTGGGCCGTCTTGGGCTGTCGGAAGGCCGTTTGAAAGCAAATTCCCAAATCCTTCAAACACCTGAGACAAATCAATGATCTAGGCCTCTTCGGGCCCTCCTGGAGGACCTCTTGGAGACCTCTTGGGCCGTCTTGGAGGCCTCTTGGGCCGTCTCGGTTCATCTTGAATCCATCTTTGGCCGTCTTGGGTGCATCACGGGCCGTCTTGAGGACATCTTGGCGACATCTCGGGCTCTTTTGGGGCCATCATGGCCGTCTGGGAGGCCAACTTGAGGCCATCTTGAGCGACAAGATCCACGGGAGGCGGGTCGCCCGGAGCTTTCCGGGTGGCCCCCGGGCTGGGCCGAGACCCCACGGGGAGTTTTGTGGAAACGGGCCAGAAACCCTGCCAGACGTTTGGCACGCCGTGCACCCCTGTGGCAGGCAAGACCATAGGGGGCAACGGATTATCGCAGACGCCTACGGCGAATCACCGCCGCCCCCTGCCTTTAGGATGCGCCTATGTCATATGTGGCCAAACGTTTGGGCAAAGTTTGGCCTCTCTTGTGGACCATGCGTTCCCCGAGTCGTTGTGGAAGCCCTTCGGGGAACATGTGAGGGAGGATGAGGAAAAGGATGAGGAGAACTCTTGGGAGCTTCCTGGGTCATTCTTGGGGCCTCCTGGGAGCTGCCTGGGGGCCTCTTGGAGGCCTCTTGGGGGCCTCCTTGAGTAACTTGGGGGCCTTTGGAGGCTTCTTGGGGACCTCTTTGGCCGTCTTACGGTGTTCCTGGCCCGCGCCGTCGGAAGCCGTCTTGGGAGCCTCTCTGGGCCGTACTGGGGCCCTCTTGGGGCGCTTCAGGGTCGTCGTGAAGGCCATCTTGGGCCTCTTGCAAGCCTCTTGGGCCTCTTGGGCCATGTTGGGGCCCTTTGGGGGCCGTCTTGGGAGCATCTTAGGACGCTCCGGGGCCATCTTGGAGGCCTCTTGGGCGCTCTTGGGGCGATCTGGATGGCGTGGTGGGCCGTTTTTCGCTGTCCCAAGCCCGACCCGGAGCAAACGTCCAAATCCTTCAACAACCCAAAGTCAATCAATGATTTAGGCCTCTTCGGGCCCTCCTGGAGGACCTCTTGGAGGCCTCTTGGGCTGTCTTGGATGCCTCTTGGGGCCTTCTTTGACCGTCCTGGTCCATCGTGAGGCCATCTCAGGCCATCCGAGCCGTCTTGCAGGCCATCCAGGAGCCGATAACCCACGACCCGGGCATTTTCTGGGTGGCCGGCGGGCTGGGCCGAAGCCCCACGGGGAGTTCTTCAAAAAACCTACCAGACATGGCACGCCGTGCACCCCTATGGCAAGCCGCAGGGGGCGGCGGATGACGGAAAGCGCGCGTAGCGTCGCGATCCGTTCGTTGGGAGAAAAACAGGGGGGAGTGTGAGGGGGTCGGCAGGACCCGCCCCAGATCTACTCGCCCTTATTTTCGGCCATGTTCGGCCCCAGACGGCCCAAGTCAGCCCCACGAGCGCCCAGGACGGCCCAAGAGGCTCCCAAGCCGGCTGAAGACACCTCCAAGACGGCCTCATGGAGGCCCAGGAGGACCCCAAGACGACCCAAGAGCGCTCAAAGACGGCCCAACCTGATCTCAAGACGTCCCAAGCAGCCCTCCAGACGCTCCAAGAGGCCCTCAAGAGGACCCCCATGAGGCAAACATCGTCCAATTCCGGAGGGAAACGTACATGTTTGGCACATTCACTTTTTTCGGTTTTATATCATTTAAGGCGGCGCAAGAGGCCCCCAAGAAGCTCCAAGACAAGACGGCGCAGGAGGCACCCACGAGGGCCCCGAGAGGGCCCAAGTGGTCTCCAAGACAGCCCAACAGATCCCCACGACGGCCCCTGAGGCGCTCCTGAGGGCCGCAAAAGGTTTCCAAGAAGGCCCCAGAGCGCCCCAAGAGGGCCCCAGGGCGGCCCAAGCCCCCCGAGACTGCCCAAGAGGGTCCCGGGACAGCCCACGAGGGCCGCAGGAAGACCCAAAGGAGCCCCAACGTGGGCCCCCACGAAGGCCATATTCATGGATTGTCGCAAGAGTGTTTGTCAGATTTTTGTCTGACGTGCCGAAGTCTTAACACCAAGAGGGCTCCAAGACACTGAGCAAGCGGTCGCGCGCCCTCACGAAGCATTAGTGCTTGCCGTCCCCGTGCCTAGCAGCTCCTTCGGCCCATCCCGCCACCATGCCTGGGTTGTGGGTCAGGTTCCTCAGGGATGCTTATCGGGATCTCTTCGGAGCACTCTCGGGGGCCTCTTGTGGGCAGTTTGACTTCCTGGGGGCCTCTTGGGGGCCTCTTAGGAGCCTCTTCGGGGCCTCATGGAGCTTCCTAGCGCCCTCTTGGGGGCCTGTTGGGGACTCTTGTGGGCCTCCTGGGGGCCTCGGGGCCGAGGGCTCGAAATGTGCGTTAGGGTTCGCCGTCTGGGCCCCATCTTGGAGCCGTCTTGGGGGCCTCTTCGTTTTGGGGCCCTCTTGGAGGTCTCTTGAGCTGTCTTGGGGCGATCTTGGGGGCCGTCTTGGAGAGTCGGGACGCCGAAAAGGCGAGAACGCCAAACTCTCCACTTGAGGAAACGCAGTGATTTTGCCTCCCGGGGCCCTCTTGGGAGGCCTCTTGGAAGTCTCTTGTGGTGTCTTGGGGGGCCTCTTGGGCGTCTTGACTTGCTCGTTCGGCGATCCGGGGCCCTCTCGGACCGACTGGGCGGCCTCTTGGGGCTTTCCTGGCCCGTCTTGGGGCTCTCCTGTCAGGAGGGAAAGAAACACACAGACACAATTAATCGTCGATTCCCCAGAAAATATGGGAAAATATGGGAAGTGGTGGGGGAGACAGAATCCCAGAAAATATAAGAAAATATGGGGAATCCTTTTATTTGTGTGTATTTATTTGTGTGTCCTGGGGCCCCTTCATCCTGGCCAGAGCAGCTCATGCGGGAGGCCGCGGCGGGGCCCGGGAGGCACGCGAGAAGCCTCGGCAGATCTGGGATTTTCGGGTCGGGGCCCCTCGGAGAGCCCTCGGAGAGTCCTCGGAGCAGTGCAGGCGCCGGCCTGGCCGCGCCTGCACTGCTTGCTTTTGCTGTTGCTTTCCCTCCTCCTGCCCTCCCCTCCGCTGCTGCTGCCCTCCTCTTCCTTTAGCCACTGGGCGACCTTCTCGAGCTGGTTAAAAAAAGTGAGGCTCCAGGAGGTTGAGCAAGGGCCCGGGGGGCACTCTAATTCTAGACCGGCCCCTCCAGAAACGATGCCCAGGCGAGTTGCCCTCATCAGGCATGTGGGGGAGCATGCAGTGGAATAACGGGCCGGGGAAGCCGCCGCACCTCAAGGTGGGGAGGATGGAGGAGGAATCTGAGGAGTAGGAGGAGGCGGAGCAGGAGGAGGAGGAGGAGGAGGAGGAGGAGGAGGACTGGACTGGAGCAATCGCGAAGCGATGGGAAGCGTCACGCTGACCTTCTCCGAGCCCGCGGCGAAAAGGAAGGACTCGACGACCAACTCTTGATATGCCAGCGCTGAAAGAAACCGATCGAAGAGCATGACCATAAGACCTGAAAGCTGAAGCATACGGAACACGTGGATGCCGTAACTGAGTCCTTCAACACGCCACATCCCAGAAGAAACCAGAAACAGCAACGTTGTTCACTCCTTCAGCCCACGCTGGCACAAACAAAATTCACCCACCTCGCCAGACAAAGCGTGTGACCCACACCGCGAGTCGAGGTGACAAAGAGCCACGCGGCTGCGCCTACATGCGAACCACAACACATGAAAAACGAGATGCACATACTACCCGTTGTTAGGGGAAAGCCATGTGTCCAAGCACCAGCATCCATTGAAGTACACCCAGGCGGGAGGCGTTGGGTCAGTGCACGTAGGCTCCCACTGTCCCTCCCGCCTGGGATGGATAACAAAGAGACGAGCAGGAGCGTAATACCCAGAAGTGTATGCAAAGCATGCTTTAGGACAACACTTCGCAGCAACTCCAGGGGAAGAACCAGCTGTTGGTACTCCGCCTCGCCCCTGCTGTCACAGACAGCTTGAAAACCAAGGGTGTGA